AAATGCAAGAAATACTCACTGTAACATACTGAGTACATCTTATTTACTGTGGAAAATGTGTTTGAGTGTGAAAACTCAAACACACTGTGAAAAACTTTTTCACAGTACGCGGAAGTGAACATTCTGCTCACTTCAGGTGTTAGCGTGTTGTGGAGCCACTTAGCATCGCCCATAGACGGCCATTCATTTTTCACGATATTAACAAGCTCGCGACTCGTTTCTTGAAAGGTAGTGTAAAATTTTATGCTTTGTGCTGTTTTACTAACTCCTGTTCTTCGTAATACTGTCCGGATTTTGTACTTTACTTTTCGGGAATTATGTTTCATATGTCTGGAAATTTTCTGATGATGGTAACCATTGCTCTTCAGTAATGACCTACTGCTGCTGTCACTACCCGATACGGATCTTAGGAGCAAAACAAAGAAGTCAGTGATGGGGCTGAAAATGATGAACATCATCAATTTCTCTCATTGGTACTACTAGAGAAAAGAATTCTTCGTCCCCCAACCGCGAAGTATCTAGTAGCCTGACCGACCACGGCCTCCTCCAACGCTGCCTCCATTTCTGTCTCCTATGCAAAATATACATTATCACTAGCTCCTCCACAGTCGCCATGTTTCTTTTTGTTTGTTGTTGTCAGAAACTTTCGACTACGGTTTGCCCCCTGGTGGGTGTACTGGTTAACATCCATGCCAACGTAAAGGACGCATGGTAGTATGTGGGCAGTGACGGAACCATCGTTTGAAAAGGACGTGTACGTTTTCATATGTATGACAAGCATAAACGAGTCTAAAGAGAAAAGGTCGATAGGACTTTAAACAGTTTAGCTAAAATTAGGTACCAGGAGAGAATGGGACAACACTTCTCTTTCCAATCTCCAGAAAGTGGTCTCCTGGGTTCACAAACATTTACTGTTGTTAAAATAGAGGAGATGCAACACAATGGTTAAAACCGCTTTCTAATCATGCTGCTGGTATCAAATTTAAAACACATATCATGTTGTGATGTAACATGTCATCTTTCTACATTTTAAATGGCTTGCGAACCAAAATCTGGAGTTCAATGTTATTAGCATGCTGCATAAAAACGACATAAAAAATGACATTGATATTGTATGCTGTGTCAGAGGAGCGCTAAACCAAAACTTAACCTTTAAGTTGAAAACAACCCCCGACAGAATCAAGTGGCACTTTGAGGGTCCTCTTGAAGTACTTCCTGCAAATCCACCTGTTTAAGCACACTAACCTCAACAGCTAATACTTGAGACGATAACATGACCCCACGAAAAACCCACAAACATAACATGTTCTGTTTAGCTTTAGAGTCGGCCTGGATGATAAGAATCAGGAGTGAGGAGTACAGTGGCTCTGGAAGCGCAAATGTTTTCTCAGCCTGAGTTTTCCTCTTGTCTCTGTTTTAAAAATCTGCATCAGGAGTGCGTTCTCATGCAGTGAAGAAATCCACACTTTGGATTATCGGTCACATCTAAATGGGAAACAAATTATGAACGCAGGGCACATCCTAAATTAAATCTACAAGGACTGAGTGAGACAAGAAGCTGCTTACACACATCTGTGCTGTGTTAAGATGTTTGTGAGAAATTGTCAGGGAGTCGATTTTAAATGTCACAGAAAAAAAAAAAAAAAAACTGTTCAGAAGGTCTGACCGTTAGGTTTCTAGATGGCTTATCTTTAAGGGTGCATTTTCTCTGAAAGTGTAAGAGGTTGGGGATTTGGAAATGCAGAGGAGTCTTTAAGAAAAAACAAATGAGCAACTGGCTAAACTCTTTGGCAGTGCACCATGGGTAACATAAGTCTTGAAGTTGTTACCAAAGATAGATCGCTGCCCTGTCATGTCTAGCTTTTGGAAAGCCCTGGAAAGAGGGATTGACTTTCATGCTGGATTTTGAAAGGGAAGGGGTTTTGCGCTGTAATTGCTATATAATGAGGGCTTCACTGACCTCCTGCCACAGCCTGGCCATGTTTTTTTATTTACTCGACTCACAAAACGCAACGACTCTGTTAAACAGATGGAAAAGATGTGTGTCTCCAGCTCCTGCAGGAATTCAATTTCTCCCAACAGCTGTCTTACTTTAAATACAAGCATGAAGTCAGGGAATCGCCCCACGCGAATCAATCAGGCTCACTGACGTTTCCTGCAAACTGTGCTGATGGAGCTGACCGAGGGGGGCAGAGAGGGGAGCATCATCGTGGCAGGGGAGCTGATGGGCTCTTGTTTATGTCCTCTAATACTGCCTGCCATCAGCTGCAAAACCGAGAGGGATGACTCCAGACAGGAAATCAGCTGACACCTTCAGGAGAAAACCTAAACTCCATCAGCTCGAAAAGTGACTCTCCGCACAGGGTGATAATGACTGAACAGCTTATTTCAGATTTTAAAAAAAATATATATATATTTTATTAGGGGACAGCAAATGGCACTTCAGAAATTCTATAGAATAAGGGCCTGCAATTTTTTCTATTTCTTATCAGAGAGAACAGAAAATGTTAGGGGTGGGAATCACTAGTGGGCCACGATATGATGTTATTGCAATTTTATACATTTTTTTTTTCAACTGTTTAACTGGTTTAGCATTTAGCTGTCCTATGTGTTTGTCTTATTTACGCTGTATTTTATTTTCCTGTAGCACATCTTGCAAACCTTATGTGTATTTGTTGTACTCACTTTCTCCTGCTCTATGATTTCACCTCTGCTAATCTCACTGGACAAACAGTTGATTTTATTTTCCCATTATCATAGACATTATCATATTAACAATTAATTTGAAAAATCGATACTTGTTAAATGAGCTGATATGATATATCACCAGTCAAAATATCGCAATACTGTGCTGAATCGATTTTTTTTTCCTGCCCTTAGAAAATATGGCAATAAGAGTGTGGGGGTGAGTGGACTCAAACCTAATCCCAATGAAGTTTGGACTAAACATGAATAAATTTTATTTTTAATAATAATAAGCAATTATTTTACCTCTTTGTCCACACGTGAAAGTCAACCTTTTTTTTTTTTACATAATATGTATTTCTTAAAACTTTAAAATCCCAGATTTGTTTTTTCCTGAAAGGGGAAGTGGCCTGAATTTGAAGAAAAATCAATTCATTTTCTGTAAGTAGTTGTCAGAGGCCCTGTTTATTTTGCTGAGGACTTTGTGACCTGATAAATCAAGTCTGCTGTTCTGCAAATATTTATCAGGAAAACTCTCTCAAGGGCTCATATATGAATAAATGTATTTCCAAGAAATATTGCTTCTTATTGTAAGCTGAAACCCTTTAGAGCTTCTTCTTTGGGTGTCTAATGCCATTACATGCAAATCTTTGGATGATAACAGTTTATTTTCAGAATACAATCAACCTTAAAATAATGTTGAGTCTATGCATTATCATTTCATTAATCCATAATCTTTTCTGGTCCCCATGTGTAAATCTATGGTTGTATTTGTCCTGATTTTGAAGCATTACCATCTTCAGCAGGTTACCTTATTAAGCAGCAAAAATAGACACTAGAGCTACATCGTGGTCAGCGTGAAAGAGAGGGGAGTACAACACAGAGACAGCAGGGGGATCGGTTTACCCTGTTTCAGTCTTTTTCAAAGGTTTTAGCAGCCTTAAGTAATGTTGTTACACAAAACTCTCTTCAACCCCTTTGTTCCTGATTCCCATCCTGAATCCACGCGGCTGCAGACGTAAGAGGAAACTTTTATTTTCGGGTCATTTAGATGAACTAATTCATTTGAGGATATTAATTAAACTGTATCTTATGATCTTATCTTAACGGGGATTGCAGAATATCTGGGTGTGCTCCTGCCACCTGATTAGTGATCATCATCTGCAGGAATTTGTGTTGCATCATCTGAGATGATGTGCACGTGTGCAAGTGCATCCTTCTGCACGTGCATGAAACAAAAAAGGGACAAAAGAAAATGAAACTGCCCCCCATTGTATTTTAAAAACATGGACAAACAATCAAATTATCTGCATGGTTTCAGGAAGTTATTGAGTAAAATATATGTGCTTTCACAGTTTCGATGAAGAGAGTGACATACACATGATAGTGAAGAGCAAATAGACAAGGTGAAGATTGTGAAGGATAAATCCAATTATTGAAGAAAATGATTTCCTCTTAGAGTGATATTTCATCCAGCATGTTCGTACTGCTCTCTCTGAATTATGTGACTTGGCGATCTGAGAGGTCACAGAGATGTTATTTATTTAAAGTGCTCTACTTGGTGAGGGCCCTCTCACTGCTATAAGTTGTGTATAAGTTCTCCCAGAGCATGATACAGTGAGGACTTTATTCCCCAACACTTCACACAAAAAATGGCGCTCTGCAGCTCACTTCAAGTCCCACTCAGACGTGCTGAGAGTTCAGTCTTAAGATGAATGAGAGACTCTCTGAGCCTTTTCAGCTACGAGTCTGTGTCGGCATCATGTGTTGTAACTGGAGCTAACTAAACAGCATAATTATATAATTGATGAATGCGCTGAACACAGAACTTTTTATAAAAATGACCCACCAAATATCTGTTTCAAATATCACGTTTCAATCTATTCTCCATTCGCAAACAGAGAAATATGAACGAGGTGGGCTTTCTTGGTGTCCTTGCCATCACCTTCAGAGAGCTCACCTGTCAGTCAAATCAACTCTACCTCTGATTATAACCCGTAACCTAAATGTGCTGAAACTAATGAGCAAAAAATATCACTCCCCAACTATGTCTCTTAAATGAAATGAGCTGCACCTAAGCCACGTCCACTTTACACCCAAATCTCTGGAAGGGACTGTGGCTGTGCTTCGATAATTATGTGCTAATGTGTACACTGGCTCGGTCATGGCTGCAAGAAGATCGCTCGTACAACCCTACCAGTTTGAGCCAGAGTCTGACCCAGAGGGAGAGGCTCCGGAAGAAACTCTTAGCCGCGTTCAAAATACGGGACCGTACTTGAACGCGGCTAGGAGTTTCTTCCGGGTAAATGCTAAAGCTACATGCTGCTCCGGAAGGGGATTTTGTCCCCCGCCGCCGGAGTTGTCGGGGAAGAAGCGAGCGGCTAAAATACGGGAGGATCCGGTAAACCGGCGCGGATCCGGTGTGTTTATCAAAGCGTGGTGGCCGTGCTGAGGCACCGGGGGGAATTTAGGCTAAACGGTAAGTCAAAATAAAACGTCCATACTTACAGATGCCACGTTTGTAGTAGGATCACGGATAGTTGGTACGGATCCATTCTTTATCTTCAGACATCTAGCAAATCCAGCGTTGAACTGTCCCTCGTTGATAAAACAGTCCGAAGTGAAATGGTGCGCACATACGTACAGATATTTTGGAAGTGCCGCGGGTACATTCCCATTATAAACAAACTCCACCCATTGAGTCCTCAAATCCTGCAACGAGGGAGTTTTCAAAAGAGTTTTGTGCTCGTTTGTGCAGCCAACAACAGAGCAAACGCTGCCTCTTTTTCAGATCGTACTTTCGCCATGGTTCTAACCGGAGCTACGTGAGCGAGCGGCCGGAAATAATGGCGCTGTTTAGATAATCTTTTGGGCAGGGCAGTGGGCGGCTCCATGGGCAGTACCATCAACCCGCCAGCACTGACATGACATCATGTCACGTGCCACGTTTGTAGTAAAACTCCACTGACATGACATCATGTCAGTGGAGTTTTCAGAACGGCTCTGAGCACACAGTCCCTAAATACGGAGATACATTTTTTTTCCCACACATCAGAACAGTGATTCTTGTGTGAACCTGATGATCCTAGGTCAGACACTGTAGATTCAGCTTCAGTCTTCACTCATCACTGTCCTCAGGCTTCGTAGTTTGATATTAAAACTGTTCTTAACCAGCTATTTGCAAACTGAAACTGTTAGCTGTAGTAAGAAATCAGAGCTGGCTCTGACACTAAAAAAGTAGCTGCTTATTTTTCTCTTTTTACTTAACCAGGAAATATCCCATTGCTATGAGGAACCTCTTTTTCAAGGGAGTCCTGGCCAAGAGGCAGTAAACACAAAATACAGATGCATGTTTACATAAATAAGACACAGAGCTTAAACACTTTATGAGAAACAAGTACAAATTGTGGAATTGGCCTCAAAAATGCTCAGTTTGGATTTAAAAGAGCTCAAAGAAATGAAGTCAGTTAGTTTCCAGTCTTTTAAAAGTATATTCCATGCATTAGGTGCAGGGTAAAAAAAATGCCTTTTTACCCAACTCCGTACGAGCATCAGGGACAGAAAGCAACAAATGATCTTGTGAACGAAGAGAATAAGATTCAGCATTTCTCAGAGTAATTAAGGTGCAAATGTATGAGGGCAGCAGACCCAATATTGCCTTATAAATGAAAGCGTACCGATGACTTGCCCTTCAGTCATCCTACTAGAGAGTATAATTCACAATGTTGAGTGGACTTCTTACAGTTAGTAATGAACCTCAAAGAAGCACGATTAACAGTATCAATCATTATAAGACATTGGGCAGGAGCATTTGTGTACAAGGGTCTCCGTAATCCAACAAATACTGCAGTGACAAGACGATTTTATTTACATTAAAAGAAAAACACAACTTGTTTTGATGATAAAAACCTAATTTTTGCTTCAGCTTCTCCACAAGATTGTCTATGTGTGGCTTGAAAGTGAGTGAGTCATCGATCAAGACTCCTAAGTATTTATAAACCACTTCTATTTCTCTGCCCTCAAGAGTGGACACTGCATTGAGAACCAGTTTCAAGTGAATTAATGAGTGTTACATAGCTACAAAAGCTTTCAGCAAAAATTCAACAGCCTGAACAAGAGTTATTGTGGGCTGATGCGAGAAGGGAGTCTGAAGTTTTTACTGTGAGTGAAAATCACTGAGTTCTGTTTGATGACTGACTTTACGATAAGTCAACGAAGCTTTTAACTCTTAATACAGTAATTTTAAGTACACCATTTCCAACCCTTAAATGTGTAGCATTAGTTCATAATGACATGATCATTAATTTGAACAGTCATTTCCTCATTTTCTCCTGAATAAGCTGGTGTTTTTTTTCGCTGCAGGCCTGTCTTTATGGTTTTGAGGCTACTTCAGAAAAGGATCTCTCTGGTTGGTTGCCACCGAACCCCCCGCCTGTATTTCTATCAGTAACATATTGAGCAATGATAACAAATCTCCCCTTAACATCAACATCACTCAGTTAGAATTATCCCCACAAGCAGGATTTGTAACAATCTTGGTTTTCAAAACAGCCATGTTGTCTGGGAGCGTCCAGTGAAAACAAAGAGAAGAATGGCAGAGCTAATGTGGAGCTGGGCCTGCACAGAGTTAGGTTTCAGTCTAATTGGGATCATACGCCGCATGTGCACTTTTGGCACATACGTTAGATTAATCAGGGGCTCTTTAATCGTGGAGAAATTCTCCTGTGCGTGGCTGGGCGGACCCTGGGCCCCCCTCACAGACCCCCAGCCTGCATGGGCTCTGTCTAAGCACAGACCTTTTGACTCCATAAACACCCACACTCAGAAATTGGGGTCAACCTCTCATTGCTAGCACCAGAGCGCTATCATGCCACCACAAAGGGTCCCCTTAATGATTAAATTACATCGAGTATAGATGTTCCGAATCTGCAGATTCCTGGCGGCTGACTCTTCCTCCTGATTGTAATTTATGTCGGAAGTCATTGCTGTCCAACACTCGGCCTGTTCAAAGCCCAGGAGAGAGGATGTGCACGTGGATGAAGTCTGCATGGTGCAGCTGGCTGCAGCTTTAATCTGCCTCACATACCTCACACAGTCACCTTGTTCCGCTTGCACACACTGACACAACGGCCATGAATGTATTTCTAAAAAGTGCTCGTGTTTTTCTTTCTTATTGCTGTGACTCTTTCGCCAACCTCAGCTCAGGCCTGTGTTTAGGTTAACCTGCCATTAATCTGCATATGATTAAGGCCTGACATACATTTGACATTCTGGGCAAGGACTGATTAGCCATTTACTTGGATGATGATGATGATGATGATGATGATGTGTGTGTGTGTGTGTGTGTGTGTGTGTGTGTGTGTGTGTGTGTGTGTGTGTGTGTGTGTCGCAGATGTGGATCCTTAGGTGAAACTGAGAGCTGTTTTATGAGACCACCATGTAAAAAGAAAAAGAAGTGTGCTCAGATTATTTTAAAAAAAGATATTTACAATGATCAGTAGGAATGAAGATTCTGCTATACTCTAATTTTGTAAAGAGCTGCCAGTGAAAATTATTAAAAAGATATTTTTTATCCCTAAAAGTATCAGTGTCTAATAATGTTGAAGAGGTTTTGTGACTTTAAAGGATGTAATAATTCAAAATATTCATCTTTTAGCTGAAAAGATGATGGACTTCATAATCGCACGTGTTTAAAATGTAAAGTGTGCTGGTAATTTCATCTTAAAATCAGCAAAATTTACAAAAATAATAAAATAATGTAACAGAAACTCTTGAGAATAAAGTGACATTAATATGTGTTTTTGCAAATTAAACTGTTTCCAGCCCTTAAGGGTGTATTCTGAGCTGAAGAAAAGGAGCTTCGGTGTTAGTATTGAGGGCTTGTTTAAACTGTGTTTCCTCTGCTTGAATGATCTGGCTTTGTTCTCGTGTTTACAGCACTTGAAAACCTGCTGACTTCAGCGCTCATGCCGGCCACATTATGAGTACGGCTGCTTATTGATCCCACACACCGCAGCTTCAAGGACAACACCTCAACCTAAAGGGTCAGCGGGCTCAACATGAAGCTGTGGTGGAAAAATGACAGGGGACAATTACAGAAAAGACACATGTTGGACCACAGAGTCTGTGATATTTAATTTTTTTTTTTTTTGGTTTGCTTCATCAAGACGCTGATTAAACAAAAACCTGCTGTATCAGGTCCAAAAGTTTCATTCATGACTTTAAACTCATAGACTTAATCATCATTATGAATGATTCATTCACATTTCGGATCATAAAAAGACATTTATGAAAAGAAATTCTAAGAATATTTTCTTCTTAAATCATTTCGGCTTGAGGTGTCTGTCTTAAAATTATGGTTTATTTGTATATTTTTGAGTTGAAAGGGGTGGAAACAACAAAGATGCAGAAAAACGGTTTTACCCATTTGTCAGAATTACAAATGACTTTTTAGCTCAAGTGTTTGACAGGGATTACAGCGGATGGGGTCTGTTCTTCTATTTGTTGCCTTTTTCTGCTTTTTTGTTTGCACATTTGCTGTGTCAAATCTTTATGTATCGTTTATTTTTTTTAAAGCCTTTTTTAAATGTGTGTGTAGTTGTGAAGCTGCTGCACAAGCAAGAAACAGAGCTTTTTAGAGTTGACTGTACTCACTTGTGAGGCAGCCATGAGAGAATATCAGGATGTATTCAAAAATGTCTCAAAGCATAAATGAGTGAAGTCACAGGTTATATTTGTTATAATAGTGTTTGCATTATAAATGTAAGCATGAGTGTGAATGAATGAATGAAGTCAAAAACAGTTTTCTTCCTGCCTTTAGTCACACTAGAAAAAGCTGTTTTCATCACTGTGAAATCATGAATCTTTGATTTTATTGCTTCTGTCCTTTATTCAAAATTTTATATATTTTTTTTATTTCTTCAGAATGATGACATAGATCTGAAATTAAGTCGCTTATTCTAAGAAAACGTAGAGATTATCGTTTTTTTTCTCCAGCTGTATTTTTACATTTATTTTGGGAACTACTTTTGCAGAACATTCAAACACAACTGCCCACACTTCTGTAGTTTTACGGCAAAGTAAAAGGATACAGTTTTGAAATGCATGTCCTTTATGACGTGACAGCTGTCTGGTTTCGGTTACGCATGAAAAAAAAACGGTCGTTTAATACTTGAATTAACGGCCAATTAGGAAGCATGATAATGTAAAACTGACAGTTTGATACGGAGACATTTTATTAATTCAGACTGTTTTTATGATGTTGGTATTCAGATCATTCTTATTATTATTTGTATTAATATTTGGCTTTTTAACGGAAATAAGCAGAAAGGCCTCACTATTTGAGAAGACTGTACCGGTTTATTTTCTGCAAAGACAAGTGTTCAGGACATAGCCGATTCATAAACCGTTAGGCGTGTCAAAGATGTCAGACAAGTGAAAAAATGTGTTTTTGTCACGGAAAGAAAAGGTGTGTGTCTTAGTTTATTTCAAAGTTAGCCACCCGTCCCTGCGTCAGAGGAAGCAAAAAACACTTATAGTTTTGTTTCAGTGTAGGACACTGACAGTGACAGTGTTTGACAATGTTTTTTATTTTTTTCTTCTTCTCGTAAAATAAAGCCTCGGCTCCTTTTCTCCCTCCTCGCGCTTCACTGTGATCGTTTAACAGCTGCTGGTGTGAAGTGTGTGAAACCCTCAATCGAGTTAAAGCTCGTTCAGCTTCACCAACACACACACACACACACACACACACACACACACACACACACACATAGAGGTGACGAGAGACGTGATGAAAGAAGTAGGCCTCAGTGGTTTACAGTCAACAAGATGTACTATCGTGGAGGGTTAGGATACGTCAAAGCGGCACGTACAAAGAAAAGGCCTCGCGCCTCTCTATGTCTGCACGAGAGAGAATCAACATCCGGATGATATTAACGAAGAAAAATACTGTGAGATGTGCGGGGTAACGCCTCCTCTTTAAGTCAGGGAGTTAATTTCCTTCCCCTATTTTCATTTGCATTAAAGAAGCGGAAATATATATTAAAAAAAACCCTTAAAAAGAAAAATAAAGTCACGTGATTGTCCTGAGGTCAAAGCTGGAGACAGAATCTAACTGAATGACAACAGGGTTGAAAATTAACCTATCATATTTGCTTTTCTTGACGTCTTTAACAAACTGTTCGTGGAGATTTTGATTTGGTAGTTTGCAAAATATCACGTTTACTTTTACTGCAGTATTTTCTGTATAAAACTCCTATTCCACTGGGTTTTACACAGCATCAGCTACTGAGTATAAAAATACCTAAAAGCGTATAGCTTCCCATCAACTGCATGGGAGCCAAAGAACAAACAAAAACTGAAGATTTTTAAGGTGAAATTGCACTAATTCAATCTGTATTACTAAATTAACTTAATAAAGTCACGCAAATGTCTATTTTTTAGTTCTACAAGCTTTGACTGGAGTGTTTAGGGCTCATCTACAAAGTGCAATCCTGGCTGAAGAAGCTGCAGTGACACAAAGTAACTTCACACACTGATGTTGTTGGCTGTATTTTGACAGAAAAAAATGTCTTTTTCATAATTTGATTGGACACATTTTGCCAAAATAGGTTGAAAATATAAAGTCTGTACTTTCCATACATTTGAAACGAAGCAGGCCACTTTTTACAGACAGGTGGTTTTACTTCTAGTTGATTAAATCCTATAAAAGTAACTTAAAGTCTTTAACTTGAGTAGAATATGTCAGTATTCTTAGCACCCCTGAAAAGTTTTTTAGTTTGTGAATGGAGAATTAAAAGGAATTAAGAGGATATTTATCAATTATAGTGCTATTTTGCTGAAATAGTATTTATATTCTTAAACTGAGTCTGAATACATCTGAGTTCAAACATAGACATCCAAATGTGACTCAGTCTCAGTGCAGCTTGCCAAATTATTACACATGATTATTTTTCTTGAACATCGACAAGTTTTGATCCTTTTTCATTCACAACGAAGCATCATCCACTTAAACTTCGACTTTGAGATCCACGACTGTATGTTTTAACAGAGCGGAATATCCACCAAAACCCCCATGGCTGACAGAAAGTTAAGCAGCTCCCCTAACCCAAAGAATCAAAGAATCAAACACCATAAAGAATAAAACACTGAAGCTCACATGTACATGCACAACCAGAAAGGACTTTTTTTTTTACTGTTCAATTCACTCACTGACCACATGCTTATAGATTCTTTTGAATGTCACATTGAACTGCTTTTCACTGGACTGTTTTAATTGAATAAAAGAAATGCCTGGCCAAGTCCCAAACTGACAATACCCTCTGCTTAGTATCTTTGGCTCTTCCCAAAAACTTTAAACAAATAAGCGAAAAAGTCTGACGTTCACCACACCTCATGTAAATATTCGACATGTTTTCTCAGCAGGAATTCAAAGGGGCTTTTGAATAATTTAGGAAAAAAGGAAAGGAGAAGTTTGAACCTTCTTTGCGCTGTTTGTTCACATAAGTTGAAGTGTCCACTGTTATTTCTTTGAAATAAATATAACAGTACCTAAAAAGTGTTAATCACTGGTTTCATGCGGACCACGTCTCTCTCCTTCTAAATCACGTAACTTCAGAACTTTAATTTATGCTTGTCCTCTTTGGAGATTTGTTTGATTGCCTCCCTGCTTTTCATCTTTTTGCATAAGACACTGCAACAAACCCGGCTGCATTAGTAAGCTCTCTTCTTTCCCATCTTACGATTATTTCTAATGTGAGGTGGTGTGTGACTTACAGTCTTCAAAATATGTGAGGAATTAATAAATAAAAGCAGCTGACCATATTCGGTCCTGAGCCATGACTGTGTGTGTGACAAATAGCAGGTCTTTATGATATCATCATGCACTTTTGCTGCAAACACACACTGGATTAAATGCTCAGCATGTCCACTATAATAAACAGAGAAGAGTATTAGTGAAAATATATTTAATAATTAAACAGCACAGTTACACAAAAGGAATGCAGATGAACAGATGTGTGAGAGTGGATCCTTAGAATATAAAGTTGAGACCTACTGCAGAGTTTGAGTTCCCTCCTCAACAGCAGAGAGTTCATCATCATCATCATCATCATGAGGGGATGTACAGAGAGCTACGACACAAACACAGGGCTGTAATAGTTCAGGTGTGAGAGAGTCTGCAGACTGCAAAAGATCCTCCAGTTTCTGGAAAACATCCTCTCATGCTTCTTTGAACGTGGCCCCATCCAAAAAAAAAAAAAGAAAAAAAAAATACAAACTAAGAGTCCCAGAGTTCTGCACACACACACACAGTCAGAGTTCTGCAGCCGGGTCATTCCTCCTGAGTGCTCTCTGAGTGGGAGCTTGAACCTTCTGATTGAGGGTCCGCCTCGGTGGCAGACGATCTCTCCTGTTCAGACAGCTGCTCACTGCTGGGGATGGAGTTCTTCTTCGGACGGCCTTTTGGTTTAGTCGGAGACTCCAGGCCTCCTCCCTGCAGCACCTGCAGGCAGGACACAGACAGAGAAAGTTGAAGTTCACACTATGATGTGAGTTTAGAGGAAAAAGGGGACTGAATCGATGGAACAGCACAGACCAAAAATGTAGTTACACTGTTAATATATGCTGATGTGTTATTTCTGACTTACACAAACAACCTTCTTTAAGCTTTTACAATCTGAGGTTCACTTTAGCTAGTCTATCTGTACCTTGTCTGTATTGTCTCTATTGATTTCCCATCAACCTCTGTATTTAAATTAATTAGTAAATCAGTCTGAAAATGTTTATTATATTTCTTCATTCTGATTCTCTTTCATTTATTGTTTATTCCAAAGCTTCAGCAAATAACGTACAAGCTTTACATAAGATGGTAGAAGTGGCCTTGAACATGACATTTTCAAAAGACGACTTACAATTTTCTTCCATTTCATCCTTCTGTTCTGGTACCATGTTTTCACCTGCAGCTGACTGAGACCCAAAGACTCAGCGAGGTCTATTCTGTGAGGGGACAAAAACAATAAGGACATTCAAACATTTGGACTACAAATCCACATCAGACCAGATCAAAGTTTGCACATCTTGGAAAAGTTTCAGAGTAGTTCATCTTCATAAGGGTGGATGATGTTGATGGCTGACTAATGCTGCCTTATCTCTGTGCATTATGAAGCCCAAACAGAGAATATACAGAGAAAGTCTAACCTCTCATCATTAGGCCCACTGGGCTTATTTTCCAGTATACTTTTTAATGTAAAAAAAAAAGCTTTTTGAAATTAAAATCTACAACAAACAGCTTAAAGTGGCTTCAGGTATTTTTGTACTCATCTTCAATAGTTTGAGAGGCAAATGTATGGATGTATTCTTGCGAAAAATGAGTGAAACTGAATTGTTTTAGAAAAAAATTATCCATACATTTGTCTAAATGTATGAGAGTATATAACTATTTTAGGTGTTAATTTTTCAAGGCTATGGCCCGATAACTCCTCTCCAGCAGCTAGACCCACCTATCTGGCGTTGACAGATACTTCTGCTTCTCGAAGCGTTTCTCCAGGCCCATGAGCTGCAGTTCGGTGAACACGGTGCGACTCCGGCGGCCCTTCTTAGTCTTGCTACCCCCGTCGACTCCGTGGTCCAGCTTCCCGCGGAGGTGCAGGTCCAGCGGCAGGTGATGTGACGCCGCGCCGACCTGAAGGCCCGGAGCCGGGGACAGGAGAGGGGAGCCCAGCGTGCAGGAAAGCGGGGAGATGGGGAACTTGAGGAGGCTCGTCTGGTCGGCTTTGAGCACTAGATTGACAAAGAAGGTAAAGAGACATACGCAAATGAGGGTTGTTATTTCAGAAACTTAGATTAGGCCTATACATTGTTGTTTTAGTTTAGTAGGTTCAGATGGAGAAGAAATAACAAGGATGTTGTTCCCAGGTAGCCTTTCAGTGAACCAACTCCGGGTAAATAAAAAGCAATTTGATTACCCAAATACTGTGAGATGAGATTGTCTCTGCAGAGACAACAGAATTACAGACTAAAAACACAGGATAGAGTCTGTGCTAGTCTGTGTATTTAAAACGCATCAGGAAAAAAAAACACACATTTATAAAGTAAGGGAACACGTGGATTGATACGGTCTAGCTCAAATGTTCAAATGAAGTACTGTCTTTATCAAAGTTATTCAAGTGACCTGTGTCAGTTATGTTTTTTTTTATTTCACATTGCGCCTTTACTCCATGATGGGTTCAGCTAATCCACTTGGTTTGATTTAACTTCGAACCAAGAAAACTCATTTGACAATCAACTAAATACAGGCTACAGCATTGAGAGCTTAAAAAATCACCTTATTATTAATTGTCCTATAAAAATAATATGCAGTTAAGGCAGCTCCCACTAATGGATGTTTGACAGTTTTTCTCTCTGCTACCACCAAACAAAACACGAAAGAGCCAATTTTACGCACGAAACTAAATGGAAAATATTAAGATAATTTGCAGTCTTGATTTTTTATTTACACATTTTAGCTAAAGCTTCACGATCACAACTTTATAGTAAATGACTTTCCTGGACTTTTTAAGTTGTGGAGTTGTAATATTTTCGCTTGACCGTTGCAAATCGTGAGCTCTTTTCCGCGCTGAGATGATATTTTAAGAAAGAAAACGGTGTTTAAACAGGTCAATATTTCAAAATGAAACATAATTTAAGAACTTATTTATGATCTGTTGTTTTTGAAAGTTTTCCGCGGTTCATTTTTTCCCCAGCGTGGACCCAAAGACATCCGCTCACATACCTAGTTGGTTATGGAAAGGCCGCGTGGACAGGAGCGCATGCACCCCGAATTTAAGGAACTCTCCGGCCGGGGCTGAGACTTTGTGCTCCGGGTGATCAGTCAGGATCTCCTCTATCATGAAACTCCTGTAGCGATGAGTTCTGTGGTCTGGGTGAACTTCCGGAGGATAGTAATGCGCCCCCATGTCCAAAGGATGCTGCATAATGCGGCTGTGCGGTCACCTCAACAAAAACCGAGAAGCGAGAACAACTCCTTCAGTGGCCCAAACCGACTGTCATATTCCCGCTGTAGTGTCTCTTCAGTCCGGAATTCAAGACCCAAAATCAAAGTTATACTCCGGGTCTGGATCAAACAAAATATCAAGTTCAGATGGCTGATTTTCCTGCGTCTTCTGTGGCTTTTACGCATGGATTACTCCTGACCGGATTTGGTTATTGATAATAAAAAAAGGGGGGGTCTGGATCCGAGAGAAAAGCTTAGACCCACAGCTCCAGAATCCGGTCGTGTTCATGCCACCTCGCTGCTGAGCCGTGGAGGTTAGGAGCTATTAGTCAGCCGCTGTGCGCGTCACCTTGGCAGTGAGTTGAGGAATAAGCTTTAGGTTTTATGAGTCCCGTCGTGGCTCCACCTCCTCAGGGTTTGTCTGCTCGTGCCTCCACTGAACCAAAGTTAAATGCAAAGCTGCACTTGTCTTGCATAGATTTATATGCAAAATGGAAGAAAATAAGGGCCAGGAGGCACCAAGATTTTCAATGGGTGACTTTGTGAGGACATGAGTTTAAAGATGATGATGATAATGATGAGCAGGGAATGTTGTACGAGACCAGCTCGGACTTTCAGGTTGAATTTCAGTCCAAAAGCAGAATAAACGATTGAGTGACTTCATTCAACATTTAACGTTTCATTCGTGTGTGATAACATCCTTGACCTGTAAGTGTGGTGCGTTAGTATGCACGTGGTCTCGAAGGGTTAAAAAAAAGACATGTTTATTTTTGCCAAGAAAATCAATGCATTTGATTAGTTTTACCGTATTGTATGATACAGCTCTTGTATCAGTGGTAGTCTATATGACTTCACTTTTAACCAACATTTTGAGCATGAATTATTACTGAATTGTTTCAGATCCAACGGGCTGTTCAGTGGGCCTTTCGTGTTTAATTCTGGTGATAAAACATCCTCCAGATCAACTGGATTTTTCCCAGATGGGCTGAAAACCGTAAAACATCTTTTAAAGTATCTATAATTGAGATGAAAACCTCAGAGAACACTCACTTTTATATTTTTTCTCTTTTGTGATTATGTAGGCTACCTGAAATTTTCGTCAAACCCTTTCTTTAAACACACCGAGCACACGCATGAAATGATAGGAACAGGATCTGATGTGACAATTATTCCACTTCACATCACATTAAGGACACTGAACCAACAGACATCGTTACCTGTTAGGGCTTGTGAAGTCACTTTACCATCATAAATATCTCATACTGTATCACGAACAGGCATTCAGCGAAGGACAGGGGGCAAATCAAGAGAAATGTTCCCGTTTGTGGGTATATGGGAAGTTGATCAAGAGCTATGGTACTTTCAAATGCGCACAACAAACGAGAATAGACACCAATATAGACAATGATAATTTGATTAATCCAGTTTGAAATCTCCGGAAGAATGTATGATTTGTAGGATTTAAAATCGAAAATTCTTTGCAGTGACATGTAAAACAATTTCTGGTCTCTCAGGGTAAAAAAGAACTCACAACTGCAACTCTCAAGATTATATTTCAGTTTTAGGCCATGATATAACCTGCCATGTTGACCAAAACGTTTGGCTTTTATAGTTAAAAATAATGTTACCTTTTTTGGAGCAAGTTTAAAATATAATTTGGGATTTGATAGAAGTTGATGAACTTTTTTTTGCCACATGAATGTATCCTCATCTTTAGTTGGATTACCTGGCATTGTCAGAATGTCTCCCCCTGGTGGTCACTCCTTAAATAGGAAAAAGACAAGACACAACAATTCAATCCCATGTAGGTAATGCGATTTTATCTGCAATAATATACATGCAATGTAAAATATAGTCCAAATGGAAGAATGTTCTTTCTTTCCTCTAATTCTGTTTTTATTTTTATTTGTACAAACTCACGCACCTGTTACCAGCCTTGAAAACCATCTGACTTTGACAAGCAAGTGAACAAATGCTGAAAGGATGGTGTGGCTCCAGCTATATCTAACTAAAGAAAATGGTGTTACAGCTTCCCCCATATTGTAGCCAAATCCAGTGTCCCCTGTATGCTCTTGAGTATATTAGCTATACGGGCTTTCTGCAGTCTGTTGAATGTGAGGTGGTTTGTTTAAGGTTAGTGTCCCAATCACCGAACAATGTGCTCTGCTTGTTGTGTTTGAGTTTTTATTGTGTAGAATCAGGTCTGCTCAAGGCTTCATGTTCTCCATTGAGATTGAGTGTCTCTGTGCTTCATCAAATCTAAGTTGAACATCCTACATCTGTAACATGTGAAAGTTGGAGCTGACTGAAAGTAGCATGTGTGACCCCAAAACATGGAACATCCGGGCTCCATACACTGAGAATGGAGTTGTCACAGAGCCAGAAAGTGTTTTCTGTCTTGTAGTCATATTTGGAAATTAACATCTGCACAGTTATAGAGTTTGTATGAGTTGAAGATGAGGAACTCCTGATGAAGAAGCAATTTTTTTTATGAAAAGAGACTCAAACAGCACCTATGTGAAAGTTGCAGGTATATCATAGAGTCAATTTCACTAATTTGCTTCATTAATGTTTTGGATTCTAATCTGAAAAATCTATCAATCATAAACACATACTTTTTGCATGATACTAATATTTATGTCCTGTGTGAGGTGACATAACATTTTCTGATATACAGCAGGCTAAAACAGTCATCTCCCTTTTAGTCTGTTGATACCATTTGCAGAGCATTTCTTATTTGAAGAAGAAGAAGAAAAAAAAAGATTTTAACCCTTCCGAGTCTATTCTTAGTCTCAACTATTCAAAGATGTTAATGAAATGGGAATTTCCCTGGTGTTAACAGCTGTTGTGATATCCTCTGTCTTTATATTTCAGCCACATGGTCATTTTAGCTGCCACTAGGCTGCACCAGAGGCCTTCAAAACATCAACTCAGCAGCCTGGTCCTCCCGGAGATCTGAACTGTGTAAGCCCACGGCCACTGGTGACATGTTAACAGATATGGACATGTGAGCCACAATATATTCTTCTGAAGGCATACATCAAGCTCCGAACTCACGTTTGCAAGTCCAGTCAAAACAAAACCCTCAGACTATAAAGAGAAACTTACAAAACAACGCAGAAAACCCTGAAAAGATATAACAGTAAATTTTTAAATCAATTTAAGTTCAAACTGACTATGTTTTCATAGCTCTCACTGCAAACAGTCTTAAAATGATAGTTTGATTCTCCTGTGATTTACATTAAAAAAAGAACAACAATCACCAAAGCACTGAATGTAACACATCGTCTTGTAAGAATAGGTACAGATTTACATGACCGTAAAACAGAGTGTCCATTCCTTATTCATTACTGTCCTTTTATACAAACTGAAACACTTAAATCATAGTTGAGAGGAACAGGGTCCAGATGTGACTGTAACCTCCGCTGAGCGCTGCCTCTGCTCACGTGACATAACGGGACCCTTCTACATGACAACATGTCAGGTTGCTAAGTTAGCTACTAAGCTAGCTGTACTTAGCTGACCAAAAGATGTGGCTACATGGAAGTAATGCCTCTGTGCGTACAAGCGACACGATAACGATGGCTTTAACCCGATGAATGGATGTGTGTGAACTGTACAGACACCCGGACTAAGGCGACAGGGAAACGGTAAGTTAGGCCTCCCCTGTTCACTTTGCTAGCTTGAGCTAACACTGTACGGTGAGCTAATGAGCCTGTGTTTTCCTCTTGCAGCATCAGCACCAGACCCACACTGTGGCGATAACAATATCCGACACTGTAGTTTACTTTGCACCCCGTGCTGTTAGTCAAAATAAGCGTTGCGACACCCAAAGCTGTCAGTGAACGTTAAACTTACCTTTATTTACCTGTTAACAGTTGTTAAGTTTGAGAAGCTGGTGAGGGAAGCCAGTATGTGAGATAGGAGCTGAGACCTTGACCACCCAGATCAGCATGTTTATTAGCGACCCTTCCTGCTACTGTTTCTGCAGAAACCATCAGGTGCTTTTCATATTGTCAACAGGTTTACACCTGTAGATTGACATAGACTACAAGTGACTGTATGAGCCTCCACAGGATTTTTGAATGAAGGGAACCACGTCCTGCAAATGGCACACTAAAATTCATAATATAATCTTAATTATGTGTTTCCGATATAAAACCTGCACTTCTGCTACCTCAGTCAGTGTCTGTCTGTAAACAATCCTTATTTCAACCTTCATCACATTACAGGTGTTTTAAACCCTCTATAGATCACTGAGATGATACCACAGTCTTTGTTCACAGAGTCAACTGAGGGTTTGTAGGGACACAGTAAAGGCATAGTTAAGAATAAATGTAGGAATAAAATCTTATGGAGTTGTCATGCTTTTTTTCAGGCATCATATTTTCCTCTTGACACCTCTGTGTGTCTGATTTACAGCTCAAATGATTAGCTATTGTGTCTTTGGAAACCCTCAACTTAGCTTCATTTCAGCTACTGTCTGTTTTAGGTCCTCGAGCACTCTGAAAGCCTCCTCTGCTGTTGCTATTTTTTATGTTCTTTCAGTGATTTCCACCGAATAGTGATGTCATGATGTGGTCATATCTCATGTTCATTTTTAAAATATGAAGGCAAGATTTCATGAATACATTTTGTCGACTGAGTTTTTATTTAGCTTTGTTTGCGCTGTGTTTAAAAACTATATATTTCACTGTATCCTCTCTTGTATTCGCTGTTCAACTAAAACAGAAATGACCTCTTTACCTATTTGGCTATTTTGCACAAATATTTTGAAAACTAAGCTCTGTTTTTAAGATGTAATATAATGTCCAACACCTTATCTACTCATATTAAGACTCAGAATTCATTATTTAAAGGCAAAGAAACAAATATCATAGATTTAGTATGTACCTATAGTCAGAGACCTATATTGTGTGAAGAGCACCATCTTGTCTGCCATATTTCTTTATTAACACATTCAGTGGAAATGATTCTCACAACCCACACTCATTAGCAGCATTTCTCTAAGCTATGTCTGAGCCTTCACACTGTGTCTGTCATGTCCGCCAACACATTGGCATCCCAGTGGACTTGAGTTTATGGATCTTAATCACTGACCGTCTTTCATATGGTGTTGCAAGGAGAATCTATGTTGTAAGTGTTAATACTTATACTAAAAATGTCATGTGGTGCAACCATAATTTATGTCAAAATTGTTACATTTTAAAAAAAATACTTCATAGTTTTTTACAAATTGTCAGTTATATCAAGTAGATAGAAACAAAGTGTTTGCATTTCATTTGAGGTTTTGTAAATAATGATCTCACATTTTAGCTCTATGTCACAATCACAATATTAAATGAAGTTAACTATTTTTTTCTTTAAATTGCATAATACTGATCAAAATGTTTTAAAACTACCTTTCACTTAAGCATATTGTATCAGGTAATGTTTCAGTTACAGAAATTAGATATTTTAGTTTACAATTAATGTTATTATTGGTCACACCACATGATATTTTGACACTTTGAAGTTCAGAAAAATTACAAATAAGACCTGATCTTTGAAACGTCAAAGTGACTACATATATGAGAGAGATACTACATATAGAAAGTATATTTTTGTGAGAATATTTAGGCGTCACGTCATTGACCTGTATACAGTCTATGATTAAAGATAGTGATAAAGAGCAAAGGTCAGGAATTGTTTGGGTATCAAATAGTTATCACGTGAAGTACAGTGACCTCTCTTAATTGTTAATGGTCCACGGTGAGGCAAAGAGCTGTAAAGGTGCAGTGTTTCACTCCTGCTACAGAGTCAGCGCTGCCAAGGAGGTCTGTTGGAGCTTTGGATGTAACGTGAGAAACATTTGGTCCCTGGAGTTACATTGACACTCTGGCAGATCTCAGGCTACATAAATCAGTTGTACAAGTCAACTCGTACTGTTCTGCAGCACAAACAATAGCAGGTGGATGTGTTGGTTTGAATAATAGATGAGGAAATGTAGACCGAGTAAAAAGGGAGGTGTTTGTCTCAACTAGAAAGAAAGAATCAGTCAAAGTGCCAGGGTGACATTGAGATTTAGCTGAAAGTGATGAGTCCACTTGAATGCATACTCTCATCTTGAGGCCTCTCCTTTCAGCTTTTGTTGGTGTTGCTCAAGTCAGTGCACTTTGTAACTCAGCACCTTGGTTCTCGGATGTGCTCCCAGCTCCTACTGTTGTCCCCAGACCGCGCCCACGTGCTCCCTGAGGTGCTGCGGTCAGACTGACACATGAGCTGCTGACATGGTGGCTCAGTTTGCACATTTCCCTCTCTCTCCTGGGCTTTCTTGCCAGGCAACACTGCTCATATCTCATTTGGTGTGCCTAACCTCAGGACTGTTTGCATTATCAGCACCACTAAAGCCATTCTTTTAAGCTGCTTCATACAGTTTTCCTGCCTTTGACACAGAATGTTTGTTTTCACCTTTCAGCCCCTGCCATGGCAGCAGGTGTCAGCATATTGAGTGACCTGCCTTACTTGCCGAGTGGAGCCCACATTGTGGAGATCAGCACAGAGATGGAGACAGGTAGGAGAGCTTTGCAACACAGAAACAACACCATAGAAGCTGCTTCATTTTGTAATTTTATTAATTTGCAAAACAATGACACAAAGCTGTAGACTTGAAATGTTATTGTTAGATATGCTCAGTATTAGGGGTAAGAATCACTAGTGAACCCATTATATGATATCATGATAATTGGGCCACGATACGATGTTATTGTAATTTTTCACATTTTGCAATACAGTGAGTACAATATATTGCGATTTATGTAATTTTTTCCTCTGTTTAGCTAATTTAGCATTTGGCTTTCCTTTATGTTTGTCCTATTTACAATGTATTTTATTTTCATCTAGCACATCTTGCTAACCTTATATATACATATTTGTTGTACTAACTTTCTCCTGCTCTTTGATGTCACCTCTGCCAACCTCAATGGACAAACAGTTGATTTTATTGTTTCAATTATCATAGATTTGACTTCATAGTAGCACTTTATTTGAAAAATCGATACTCAGTAAATGAGACGATATGATATATCCTCAGACAAAATATCACAATACTATGCTGTATCATTTTTTTCTGGCCTCCTGAAGGAGCCTTCATTAAGTTTTACTTGATTTGGCAACAATAACTGGTGCTGATAGTTTGCAGGTCAAGAGATACGTATCCACGCCATTGACATTAATAATAGATAAACACTGGCATCTCTTCAGTTTTGATGCTGACACTCTTGTGTCATTGTGTAGTTGAAATTTGGAGTTTTAAGTGTTTGCTAAAGTTGTTCATAGAAAGATTCCTATCATATCGCTTACTTCAGTTTTTTATATGCTGTGGACTTCAGTCAAACAACCTACCTACTAGCACAGTGTCCTTTGTCCACTACCTTTGAATGAATTTGTAATGGTTGTAAAAACCTCAACGCACCGTACAATGTTGTCTCTTGATTATTTAACTCAACTTAAAGAAGGGAAAATAAAGCATAAAATCTGTAAGTCAGTGTGTGTAGTTACATTAACAGTCTTAAACATGAGATTCAACATTCAGGAAATCCTCTGATTTGTGGGTTCAGTCATGAGAAAACTCTCTGCAGGCCAGCTTTATTTTAGAGGGTAACATTTCAAGAATAAACACATAAATGTAAAATATAAAATTTAAAAAAGGTCAGCTTCATTTTAGAGGGTAACATTTTAAGAATAAAGATGTTAATGTAATAAATCAAATTACAGTAAAATACTGTAAAATAAAATATGTAAATACCAACTTTTACTAAGTAAGCACTAAGGTGTAATGGAAAAAATGGCAAAAAAGTGAACAATGAAAAATGACACCGTAAAAAATACAAACGTGTTGGTAATGAGTGGAACTAAGAACTGCAGCTGATTATCAGTTTGCTTTATTTTCTGACCTTAACATCAGATGCAGCCTGTTAGCCTTTGCTGCAGCTCTGAGTCGCTCTTCGCTGTGTGTCAGTCCGCCTGCTGAGAGCCTCAGTGAGCCCATGGGATCATTTCACCTTTTGGCTTCAGTGGGGTGTCAGAACGGCTGCAGTATTGTTGAGCACGCAGGTTCCCCTGTTGTTAAGGCTGTGCTGTTAATGGTATCGAAATACTTAAAAATGTATGTGTTTATTACCACTCTTGTTGTTATTTTCCGGATGTACACTAAGAAAGCTGAAAGTCCTTCTGTGTTGTGGAAAATGTAGCCGGTTCATGTTTTTGAATAAGCTTACTGGGAATCAAAATGAGCTTTAAAAAAGTTGAACTTTATTTTGCTGTTTTCCATTAACAGACATACAACTTCCAAACATAGACCCCCTCCCCCAAGTCTCTTTAACAAAAAATAAATTGAACAGAAAAATACTTAGACAGTGACCTCTTATAAGTTCAAAGAATTAATGTTTTGAGCATGAAAAAGATTTTTAAAAATACTAAAAAAGAAAAAGAAAACTAAAACTATAAACACTACTACTCTCAGCAATGCGCCTCCTTCATTTCAAACCTTAAAATCCATCTGAGGGTGCTGGTAATTTTATATGTAATGTGCAGTAAAATGTCACATTGTCTTGTATCATGTAACCCTTCCAGCAGTTAGAAATGTATTCAATCAGAAGTGGAGGAGGTGTGATTGTAAGCAGCACACCATTAGATGTTTGACCTTGTAAGAAGGCGTGCTCACTGCTGTCCTCTCTTGTTAACAAGCTGTGCTTTGTTTATGTGTATAATTTGTCTATCCCCCATCTGCCTCCCACTGACGATTATGGAGGTGGTTGTCATGGTGACTCTTCAAATGCTGCTGATGAACTCTGTGCCAGTGGGGGGAATATTGTGTGATGAGTCACCATGAGCACAGAGCTGTCCAGCTATGAGCTGCTGTCAGTGCAAAGACAGGCGCAGCACAGTGCAGCAGCACAGCGAGATGCCTCTGCAGTGAGCACACCGCTCTTAGCTGGTGAGATGATGGGCAGCATGAGGGGGCACGACCGCAGGCACTCTGCCTCGGACATCCTGCTGAAGGTCTTGCAGCGCAGACGTGGCTCGGCCCTGGAGAACCTCTCCTCCTCCTCCCACAGAGTCATCGTGGCCATTAGCATGAACCAGCCCGAGCCTTCCACTGAAAGATGGACCAGGAGATGTAAACACAACAGAGGAAGAGCTAGTGTTTTTCATGAGGGAGTTTGTTGATAACTTCCGCTGCGAGGAAAGCATGCAATAATTCTTGATACCTGTTATCAGATTGTTTTTATGTGGTCTTTTTTTGTTCTCAGCCAATGCAAGGATCCCTACAGCAAAGTACACCAAGATGGGGGAGACCCTGAGGCATGTCATCCCGGGTCACATGCAGTGCTCCATGGCCTGTGGAGGGAAAGCCTGTAAATATGAGAACCCCTCTCGCTGGAGTGACGAGGAGCAAGCCATCAAAGGACTTTACTCGTCCTGGTATGTCGGCCTGTCTTACAAATCGGTGTTGATGTACTTGTCCTGTCAGCACTGTGTCTAGTCAGCATGGGTCACTTCAGTTCAGTCCACATCATTAACTACATCCCAAAGTCAATAAGTTTGTCCTGGTTTTTGTCCTTCACCATGTTCTGTTTTCATAATGGAATCAAGACCTAGTTTCTGTGCACCACTACACTTGCTGTGTCACTTAAGAGTTATTTTCAACCTCCTAACATTTCTAATTCGTCATTATTATTTAATCAATCTGCTTGGTAAACCTTTTCTCCTCCTAACTTTTTTTATATTCTTCATTTCTAGGATTACTGACAACTTGCTAGCTATGGCAAGGCCTTCCACTGAAATCATAGAGAAATATAATATAATTGAACAGTTTCACAGGTACAGCCATCACTTCTTTCTCACACCTTTTAAATCAGTATTTTTAATGTGATTATTTTCAGCATTAAAGGAATATTCCGGCGTAAATTTAGGTTATGTTCAAACACACCGTAACACAGAGTTAGACACCACCTCGAGAGATGAATGTTGCTGACTGCTTGCTTCTCTAGTTATACCAACTTCAGTAACGACCGCATGATAGCAAAACACAGAGGTCTATGTGTCTAAGCACAAACCTCAACCAAAAAGCCACTCTATAGCTACAAATAATGCTCAGAACAGCACCTAACTTCATCAACAGTACATACAGGGTCCCAGCCATAGTACTAGCCATCAAACATCTTTTTAGCTTTACCTGGTTTCTTTAGCAAAGAGACCAAACACAACTCACCTACTCTCCTCCAGCAGCTGCTTGTTTGTGGGGGAGCCCTGACGAGTTGATCACCAAGTGCAGAGATAAATCTATGATTATTACCTCATGGAAATGCAATGAGACTGAGATGCTAAGGCAGAAAAACTTCCGCGTCTCCAGTCCACATACAGGTACACGAGAACTCTTATTGCATTTTCTATGAAGTAATGATCATAAATGTTCCTCCTTGAGCTGCGAAACTCCGCTGCACTCAGTGATTGACTTGTCAGAGCTCCCCCACAAACAAGCAGCTGCAGGAGGAGAGTGGGTGAGTTGTGTTTAGTCTCTTTGCTAAAGAAATCAGGCAAAGCTAAAAAGATGTTTGGTGGCTAGTACTATGGTTGGGACCCTATATGTACTGTTGATGAAGTTAGGTGCTGTTCTGAGCATTATTTGTGGCTATAGAGTGGCTTTTTGGTTGAGGTTTGTGCATGGAGATGTAGACCACTGTGTATTGCTATCGTGCTGAAGTTGGTATCACTAAAGAAGCAAGCAGTTGGCAATATTCAATTCTCGAGGTGGTGTCTAACTCGTGTTCAGTTTGTTTGACCATGACTTAAACTACGCTGAAATATCCCTTTAAATTACAGAGGAATTAAATTTAGTTTTTGAATCGTTGGGTCAGGCTCTTCATGTTGCAGTGATGTTTTTGTATTACCAAACTGTTGTCATCTACTTAATTCTTTGCTAACTGATGCAGAAGTGTCTCTTTGCTCAGGTGTGGCCTGAAGACTGTCATTAACCTGCAGCGGCCTGGAGAACATGCTAGCTGTGGCAACTCACTGGAGCAGGAGAGCGGCTTCACTTATCGACCCGAAACGTTCATGGAGGCAGGCAGTGAGTTGCAGCATCCCCCCCTCATCAACACACACACTGTAAACTCTAGTATGACTTCACACTGAGCCAGTATCAGACTGACCAACCTCTTCAACCAACACTCACAAAGTATACCAGTGTTTCCCCTATAGAGTATAAAATATAATTTGTGCAATTTCAGACTCTAAAGCTCACAATCATTTCATTACTTTCAAGAAAAATGTTTCTCTCCGCTCCTCTGTGAAGAGCAGAGCTCTCCGCTCGCTCCTCTCTCTATCTCACAACATACATGCGTGCTGACATGCCGCACTGTGTAGTTCAGAGGCGTGGCATGTCAGCACCACTGATTCTGGTATTCTGGTCGTAAACTCTTGCCGCCAATACCCTGCCAGTTTTGCGCAGGATGGTTTTTATAACCCGGGGTTCCTTTCCATTTTGTTTGCCGCAAACAAAACAATAAAAAAACTGGTCATGGAGCACCGACCTGTCCGCGAATGTTCAGTACCTCAATTTAAAGTACCTGCATTCTTCAAAAAGATGGTACGTGGTGATGAAGATGCCGCACATTCTCTTGTGGATGGTAGCTTAAGCATCTCTCCCAGACCCGAAAACAGCACTGGCTCATCTTTGTTACAAGGAGGGCAGTCAAGATTCATCCTCCTAACAAGCTCCCCTGAGATCTTTCCCCAGGTCACCTCATTACAGCGTCAGCTGCGATCTTAAAGATCTGTCAGTTTCACAACTCTCAGAAAACAAATACAGGCCCAGGAGGTTTCTGTGAGAGTCTGCCAAAGTATTGATACTTCAGTCGTTTTTCAACAAGTGTTAAAAACTGTACAAACTTTATTTATCTTACATTAGATTGAAATAAAAGTGCTAAAGTTAGAAGTCCATTTGTCAATAAACAGGTTTGACTCAAGGCAGCAACAGAAGCCAGTGAGCAAGAAAGTGGAGGAAAAGGCAGCAGCACTACTGAGTTAGGGAATTAAAATGCTCTTTTCTATTTTTTAAATTGTCTCTTTCGTCGAGACCAAACACCCACACTTCCTCTGAACCCTGTTTGGACGTGGAAGAACAGACAGTAAAGGCAGAGGGTTGAGTCTTTGGGAGGGTATGCTTTTCTAGTAAAACTAGATCTTCAAATAGTTATCGAGTACTAATCTAGTTCAGACTCAACAAACCAAAAAGCTCTGTTTAGACACTCATCCTCTGTTGATTGTAGCCCAAGGCTTCAAGATTCGAATTGATAAAAACTTGATGGGTAGGGTTAGAAAGGTGTAAAATTATAAGATCTCTGCCCCCGTCTGCTCTGGGCTCTATCTCTGGGCTGAATTAGCTGCAGAAAACGATAGACAAACAGTTGTATTGATGGAATGTAGAAGCAGACATGTTTTTAGTGGAAAGAAGAAGATATGATGTCTCTGGGTCTGCTGCATCAGTCAGCCTTGAACTGTTTGGAGGGAGTTCAACAGCGTTTCAGTTTCCATAAACAGCACATGCGTAGCTTAGCAGATCTGTGTAAAGCTGCTAATGAAAAGGAAATCTGAGTCCTCCTTCTTCTGTTTTGTGTATTTCAGTTTATTACTACAACTTTGGGTGGAAAGATTATGGTGTTGCATCTCTGACTACAGTCCTGGACATGGTGAAGGTTATGTCATTTGCTATCCAAGAAGGAAAACTGGCCGTCCACTGCCATGCTGGTCTTGGAAGAACTGGTGTGTAAACACTTACTGTTTGGAATTGCTGAAATCTTAGTTGATGCTTTTAAAAACGTCCATTCTGTCTAACTTGTTTTTTGTCCATAGGTGTGTTATTGGCTTGCTACTTGGTTTTTACGTCTCGTATGAATGCTGACCAAGCCATTCTGTTTGTGAGAGCCAAGAGACCTAACTCCATCCAGACCAGAGGCCAGCTCCTGTGTGTCAGGGAGTTTGCTCAGTTCCTGGTCCCTCTTCGAAGCGTTTTCTCCTGTGCAGAACCAAAAGCTAGTGCTGTCACCTTGTCCCAGTACCTCACCCGGCAGAGTCATCTGCTGCATGGCTACGAGGCTCGACAGATGAAGTTTGTGCCAAAGATCGTCCAGCTGGTTTGCCGGCTTCTCGTAGATATCGCAGCCAACAGACAAGTGGTGATTGAGGAAGAGTGGCTGGAGATCCCTGACCTCACTGCTGAAGTAGAAAAGACTGTTTCCCAGCAGGCTCTGCAGCAACTTGGGAAGGAGATGAGAGGAAAGGGAATTCCTGTTACATCCTGTTCCCCTCATCCTCTCAACCTGAATGCCCTGCAGTCCAGACCTCCACAAGATCAACCCAGTGATAATGAGCTTGATCCACTGTGGCAGGAGGAGATTATAGAGAGCCCTCTGAAGTCTCTGCTGTCCAACAAAAAGAGTCTCAGTAACAGTGATTCTGTCCTTTACAGACCGGGACCACAGCAGTACCATCCAGAAAATTTGAAGAGCTACAAACCAATCAACTGCCTGAACAAACATTCCTTCTCTCACAGCAGCCTTTCAGGCTGTAACGCCCACATGCATGACCTCTCCTCTCAGGACTTCACCAGCATCATTCAAGACCCCAAACCAGGGACAAATCAGAGCACAGGATCACCCTCTTCAAGAAAGAAGCTCCAGAAGTGGCATCAAAGTTTGTCTTTAGATCTGTCAGAGCAGAGAAGGAAATCCCACTGTTATGTTCCACTTGCAGCCTTATCAACCAGAAGCAAACTGCTTACCAGTGATGTGAAGGCGGGTGGGGATGTGTCAGCAGATGGTGCAGAAAAGGAGGTCTTCACTGAAGTTCCCTTCATCACTCTCCAGTCTGAACTCTCTGCAGAGAACAGACAGCTGCTGGTGGCCAAAGCTTTGGCCATGGACCTGATGGACAATGATCTAACCTCCAAGGTGTCACAGTGGCAGGTAGAGTACAACATTCATTAGTCCCTACAATACTGTAGGGCTGCAGCTATCAAATACTTAAGTAACCGAGTATCTACCTGATATTCCATCGTTTAATCGGATAAAATCTTTTTTAAAATTTTAGTTATGGTGTAATTATCGTGGAACAATTGCGGAACAAGCGTGAAAGTTAGCGGATTGCAATGCTTGTAAGAAAGCTAATTATGATATTAACTTTTAGCATGTCCGTAAAGACATTAGTGTCCGAGACCTGAATAGCTCCTATGTTACCTGCTTCTGCTACTACACTGGCAATGTTAGCCTGCAAGCTAGCATGAAGAGGATTGTGCAGAGCAGCGTTGTCTCCGCCCACGACTCAGAGGAGAATTGCTAATGAGCTACTGGAGCTCTGCAGAAGAAAAGCCCCTCTCATCATCTGTTCTTTTTTTTCACTCCACAAAACCAAAACTGCACTTACTCCTCCTTCTTCTGTGGTGATGTAAGCGCGTTGTGTTGCCTTGAAAATAAATGAAACAGTTACAATTTGAGCTTATCAACGAGCTCAAATCGGGGAAGACAAAATTCCACAATCATTTTTTGTAATCGAGTTACTGGAGGAATCGTTTCAGCCCAACTATATACCACTATCATGCAGTGATGCAGAACTTTTACTAGACACTGGACTAGTAGTTTTAGACCTTTCTACAGTCTTAAGACATTGATTCTGAGGATGTAAGCGGGACCTTGGGTCTCTGTAGGACACTATGTCGAGTGAGGGATAGTCAAAAATTTTCTGTAAAACCCAAATTTGTTGTTCCCACATTTTGGTTTTCCCACAGTTAAAAGATATAATATGTAATGTATGCATCATGAGTGGGTTGTTGGAAGTGATTGGAACCCCAGCAGAGAGCGCAGGACCTCTGCAAACATTTAGACTGAGAGATAGATAAAGCAGGTCCGCATGAATCAGTCCAGCATCTGGTTGAGTTTTCCTGTCTTTGTAACTGTCCCTTGTATCTTTTCTTTTTCTGTTTATCAGTCCTTAAATGCTGCTACACTCCATATTATGTTCTGTTTACTTCATGCATCATCTTCAAGGTCGATGCTGATTTTCATTTCCCTCTGCACATTTATATGATTACAGTCAGTCTGCCACAATCAAAGCCATAACATTTCATGAATTTAAGTGATTTTGACAGAAAGGAAGATCTGAGTTATCCTGTTAAGAATAAATGGAAGAAGATAGGGTATAATAATGATAGTAATCATAGATAATTTTAAATGGATTTATAGCACTTTTGCTGCCTGGTGTCACTCTAAACAGACTTCCATCAGTTACAGGTTTAACAGATCAAGCTGATTGAACCTGCTTATTTTTACCTGGAGGCACTTGATTTAAAATCAGTTCTTTGACAGAGTTTTACGACTACTTCATGATTTACAGATGGAGCTGAACACCAAAGAAGGAGCATGGGAGAGGCTGTGCTTGGAGAGAGATCCTCTGGTTCTGTCCTGCCTCATGTGGTCCTGGCTGGAGCAGCTGAAGGATCCAGTTATCAGCAGTGAGGATATAAAAGCTCTCAGCGAGAAGAATGTAAATCCAGAAAACGCCCTTAACTCTCTGGGAAAGGTAGCTGGGTTAAATCATTTCTTCAGCATCACTGTGCAAAGCAAACTATTTTAATACTTTTTAACTATGTAGTGTCTTAAAAGCAGCTCAGTTGTGCATTTTCATCTCTACAAATTTACAGCACAGCTAAAAAGATGAACTTCATGGCCTTTCCATGAAATTTCTAAAGATCAAAAATGTCGTCTTGTGGTTTGATAGTTTTACATTCTCTTCTTTGCTGACAGGGACACAGACTCACTCTGCTGTGCATCCTGGACTGCGCTGCTCATTTACTGCTGATGCCTGAAGAAGTGGAGACCAGTTTTATTAACCAAACAATAAAAGTGTTTACAAAGGTGAGGACGATCAAGAGAGTGCACAGAGACAAAAAAATGTACAGATGTTTTTGTATTAGGGATGCACCAAGTTACATTTTTTCACAGCCGATCCTGATTACTGAATTTGGATATCTGCTGATACTTTTCCGATACCAGCGCTCTGTTAGCTTTACCATCATTATGATCATTATTGTTTATTTTATATGAACGTTTATGTACGTATTAAATCAGCGAAATTGGGCAGACATCTGAAGTCCAAACATCTGTAGTAAAGCTCAGGACTGGAACTCCTTTTAACTTCTCAGCTAACTTGGTTGACACTCGGACGTATAGTTCAGGTAGTGCAGTCCATGATAAAAATCTCCTGGATGGTAAATTATACCCTGACTGCAAGTGTTCAATCAGGCTGCAAACCCTTCGTTTTCCACCACTGATAACGGTTGGTCATCGAGTAGGATGAAGTTGAGCAACTTCTCAGTAATCCCTTCATATTTCACGCTGTCTGCTGGAAGTTTACCTTGCTTTTAGATTGACTCAAGAAGTAATTCCTTGCGGCTCTTTTCCTCTTTCTGTCCCCCGGCTAAAAATCCTCATGCTCTTTCATGTGGTGCTTTTTCAAATGTTTGATTACTTTTAGTGGTATTGAACGTTGCGACGGCGGTTCCGCCTCTCGGAATAATGGCTTTGCAGACATTGCACGTTGCTGTCTTACTTTGAAGCGTTTCGACTGTAAAATATTTCCACACAGCAGACATGTTGTTTGGAAAAGTTTGCCAGCCCTAGTGCTGCTTAATGCTAGCCTGATAGCTGCCTGGCTGCAAACTGCAGAATGGATTTCTTGAACGGGGGCGTGTCTCATCTTTGTGTCTCATTGAGACACACCTCCGCTCAGGAAACCCATTCCGCTGTTTGTACAGTCATTTCAGCAGACAAAGTTACTGCAAAGACATGACTTATGGATCGGAAATTGTCACTGGTTGGATCAGAAATTTACCGATCCATGAATTATGCTTGTATTGGAACCCGATACCGATACTGGATCAGATCGGCCCCATCCCTAGTTTGTTTGCATCATTTAGTTATTCTCTCTCTTTTTTCAGATTGACCCTGCCTCAGAGGAGAGTAAATCTTTGTACGGTACACTTAAAGAAATCCTGGCCCCCATTCTACATGAGCTGCATGACAAAGCTGTTGAGGAGAATGAAAACTCCTGATCCAGCTTCTTCAGGACCGGTCTGACATAAGGAAGACTCACAAATCTGGTTCTACTCTTTGTTACTGGGCATTACTGTGTTCTAAGCTGGTGTCTTGTTTTAGATACTGCTAAGATTTGCCAATCAGTAGTCTCGAGATATTTGAGCACTATGTTATTTGAGGGTTAAGAATTTTATTTATCTTAAAAAAAACTCTTGAAAAAGACTTAAAGCACTGCCATTGTCTAAGTTCATGTGCCACTGTGCTCAGCTTGAAAGCATTTGTCTGTCCTGACCTGTTCTACTGTTACATTTTTACAGCACTAGATGTCGTGTTTATTATCGAAATGACTGAGGAACTTTCTCATGATGTTTATGTATTGTTATTTAAATTTGTCTCAGCTGTCAAAGCTGTAAGGGAAGAATTGTGTCTAATTTAAACCAAAAGATGCTTTTACACTGTGCAGATGCTATAATGTGTCTTATTTATTCATTTTCTTTTTTTTTAATGAGCATTTGGTTTAACCTGTTGACAAGTTGCAAGGTTGTTTTATTCTTGTAGAATGTATGTTTATTTCTTACAGACAAATGCAAACTGTGGCCCTTTTTATGGCAATGCAAATTTGACAGGCCACAGTGCATTTGCTTTTTCCAATCAATTCTATCTCCCTAATACTGTGCTCACCAAAAACCTTGCACTGTGCTGCTGCTCTGTTGTACATGCATTTATAAAACATTGATCTGCCTCCACTGCTGCAATAAGCAAAATTCTGTCTGCCTCAACTCAAATGGCCTCTGTCCTGACTCATGCTGCCATGTGTATCATACCTCCCCTGTGTGTGTGTGTGTATGTATGTGTGTCTTTGTGAAGCTGTTGAGATGAGCTGATGATCAACTGTCACCTCATACATGTCCCACATATGGACGCTGTGTTATTTAGATCTACCGTCACATGCTGAATGCAGAACACTAGTGATTATAGTATGAAGACCATGTTACATTGTACCATGAGGATTTTCAACAAGCTCTATTTTTTGATTGTTACACCAGCCTCCTTCTTACAGAATTAAAAACAACTTACTGCAAGCTAAGACAACAGAGTCAACCTTTTTTACTTCACCATATAATGTATCAGCAATTTGGCATACAATGCAAAGAGGGGAAAGTGTGCCTCCTGGTGTTATGGCATTAGTGTTACACCCAAATGTTTCATTGACTCAACTATGCCGCAAAGGTTGAAGAATGAAAAGTTTATGTCTTAAGGTCTTTACTACTAAATTTTGAAAACCGATTAATGTGTTGAACATTCAGTGGGCAAGAATGGTGTTCAAGCCGGCTAAATCCAGGTCCCTAGTTCTTGGACAGTGGAAAGTGGAGGACAAGTACCGCTTCTACATGGATAGAGTTCGAATTCCATCAGTGCCAGAGGAGCCCGTGAAGCGCCTGGGGAAGGTCTTTGATGCTATCCTGAAGGACAGGGCAGCAGTAGCTGCTACTCTCAAGGAACTATGGACAACTTGGTTCCACCTACCGCCTGCATACGGATTTGAAGCCAAAGAGCTCTCAGTATTTCCGAGATTTTTCTTCATTTCCTGAAACCAGCGCTGGGCAGTAGCGTTGTGGGAGAGTCGCCGTGATGACGCTCAGCTCAAACATTGTATCCCTCGGATGAGCTACGCAATCTTCGTACGCCCATAGGCTGTATCAACTGTCAATCAAAGAAAACATAAACCCCCTTATAACTTTTAAAAACAGAGCTTCACAGAAAAAAGAGGACTTGAGCACAAACCAGTCTTACTGTAACTAAATGTTCACATCGCATCCAGGGGGGAGAAAAATTTATATTCTGTGTAATAAATTTCTAAAGTTTGTCCACAGTTCCATAGGAATTGCTGGAAGAGGCGGGATTTAAGACCTATACTGCAGCCTGTCACTAGAGGGTGCTGTTCTCGGAGTGGCATCACCCAGCAAGCAGACAGACAGCGTCCATTCTATTTACAGTCTATGGGTTAGACCTAAATCCAGATCATGGCCCTTGCTGTGGTTGAGTTTGACACCCCTGATCTATGGAGTTTGCTCATTCAGAAATTTTGAACCGACTGTCATTTACACCTCCACCAGCAGGAGGCAGTAATGCGCCCTTCATGCCTTTGCACATCGGTGAACAAACCACAAAGAAGAAGCAGTCAGAGGGTGGAGGAGCGTTCCGACATGGCAGACAGGTGGGTAGACAGTAAAAATCATATATTTTAATCAAATAACGCCAGTCCTAGGACTTGTCTTACTAGAAACACTTCATCACAACACCGGATAATATTTTGTAGCGGAAGAGCTAGCCGCCGTACTTTTATACGACGTTTGCTGAACACCCATGCTGGAACGTGCTGCTAGCTCCTAGTTAGCCCAGCTAGCAGGCTGTAAGGAGTGGTTTACTGATGAAGCTGGTGGGCTGTGCTGCTGAGATTACTGCACTTTGGATATCCTTAACATTTCTGCATGTAATAATATGTAGCTGACGGTGAATGTAGACAAAGAGCGTGTAATTTCGCCCTTAAATGCCTAGTCACGTTGGCTTCTTTGGGGAGTAGCTCAGTGCTTGTTGGAGGAGTGTAAATCCTGCTCCTGTAAATGACGGGCAGAGGGGCTGAATTTACACTCTAAATTAAAAGTTACTTACATCAGTCTAACCCAGAGGAATAAAGAAGCAGTTAAACGACAGAGAAAGCCGGTTTGAAAGAAGAAGAAGACAGGTTCAGGGACTCAGGGTTCAGTCCTGTTAGATGGTCTCAGAGGAACAATCAGCCTGTTTCTGTGGAGGTGAATTGAAAAAGGTGCTGTGGAAAACAGACCACTGACCTTGTATTTGACAAGGGGTGTGTGTGTGGGTGGGGGTCTTATTGGCTAATTGATGTACATAATCTTAATATGGATCCCAGATTCACCATTGCCAATGTGTAAAGCCTGACTTCCAGATTCAAGGTTTTCATCCTCCTACATTAAAGGGATATTCCGGTGTAACATTAATTTAGGGTCAAACACACTGTAACACCGGGTTAGACACCCCCTCAAGAGATGAATGTATCCAACTGCTTGCTTCTCTATTTATACCAACTTTAGTAACAACCGCATGATAGCAATATACAGCGATCTGAGGATCCATCAACAAACCTCGACCAAAAAGCGACTCTATAGTCACAAATAATGCTCAGAACAGCACCTAACTTCATCAGCGGTATATATAGGGTCCCAGCCATAGTACTAGCCATCTAACATCTTTTAACTTTTCCTAATTTCTTTAGCATAGAGACCAAACACAGCTCACCTACTCTCTTCCAGCAGCCGCGTGTTTGTAGGGAGACCTCAGGCCAGTCCATTATAGACAACAGGGGGGTGACGCAGTTCAAGGAAGAACATTTATGATCTCTTCTAGGGTCCGACTGATATGGATTTTTTGGGGCTGATGCCGATTATTAGGGTGGAGAAAAATCCGATTACCAATTAATCAACCGATTTTTAAAATTTTTTATGAAGTTATAAAAAATATGTATATACTGTAGATATACTGTAGGCAACTGCACTGCACTTTTCAAATGGCGGAACATTTTCGAAGTGAAACCGAATCTTATTCTCTGCATTTTATTTCTAAAAATATCTGCGAAAATCGGCAAGTTTTCGCCAATTACCGATCAGTCTCAAACAGGCTAAAACTGGCCAATTTAATCATTTCTTCATGGAAATGTAATCAGACTGAGATGCTAAGGCAGAAGAACTACCGCATCTGCAGTGCAAAACGATAAATATGGTGGTTATTATTTAAAGGAAATGATAAAGAAATTATCATAAATGTTCTTCCTTGAGCTGTGTCACCCTGCAGCAGTCCGTAATGGATTGGCCTGAGGTCTCGCTACAAACAAATGGCTGCTGGAAGACAGTTGGTGAGTTGTGTTTGGTCTCTTTGCCAGAGAAATCAGGCAAAGCTAAAAAGATGTTTGGTGTCTAGTGCTATGGCTGGGACCCTAGATGTACTGTTGATGAAGTTAGGTGCTGTTCTGAGCATTATTTATGACTATAGAGTGGCTTTTTGGTTGAGCGTGTGGCTCTCTGTATTGCTATCATGCAGTCGTTACTAAAGTTGGTATAACTAGAGAAGCGGTCGGCAACATTCCTCTCTCGACGGGGTGTCTAACTCGGTGTTACAATGTGTTTGACCTCTACTTAATTTTATGCTGGAATATCCCTTTAATGAGCCTGAAAGCATGTTAATGAAGACATAATGGGAGGTTAGGCTGCTCTTATGAAAGTCAGCACATGCTCTTTTGCATTTTGATGTATGTTTTAAAGTGAGTGTGGTGATCCACGGTGAATGGAGTCCCTACGTCCAGATGTGTGGCACTATTTTGCTGCTGGATGGCGCTTCTTGCTGCTGTCCGTGGTCCTGAACTTTAGATAATCTCTTACACTTTCTCCAACTGGCCTCCATCCATCAAGTATTAATTTAGTAGTCGGTACAAAAGGGCACAGAGGGGTCTGTAGGTTTTGTTCCACAGCAGCCACATCAGTCTTGTGTAGTCCCTCATTTATTGCTTTTTTTTGTTTCACTCAGCTCCCAGTCGTGACTATCTGACCCTTTATAGATGTCACCATCTGTGTCCCTGCAATGAAATCGTCTATGTGGGAGTCAGCTAGCTCAGCTCATCTCTGTTTGTTGCAATAACTGCATTGTGCTTCTTTTTAAAGAAGGAACAGAGGGCAAGACTTCGTAAACGGGTTTGCCATCAGCTCTGATTTGATACAGGGACCAGTATACGGCTGCAGTTAAAAATACTCTCAGACTTGCACGTATCAATCACACAGATGGATACATGCCTTTTCAAGACATGCATATAGTGAAATATTATGAATGTATGACCTAACCCCTCTTCCCCATGTGAATATTTCCCACAGCTGGAGGTCTCAGCTGTCAGCCCCTGTCAGAGGATTTGACTGATGCTGCTGGTTCCCCGTCTCTGAGGGAGTCTCTGCTGGGCCTCTGCCTCCTTAAGGACAACAGTTCTGTTTGCACTGTGGGATGAGGTAGTAGGTTGTATAGTTTTAGGGTCACACCCGCACTGGGAGATAACTATTCAACCTACTGTCTTTCTCAAAGTGACAAACACACTTCAGAGACCGTAAACTTTGGGCCTTTTATTATAACAACTGTTTGATGATGATGAGGATGATTTAGAAAGTTTCTTCATCACTTTTGCTCACACAGTGTGAGGTAGTAGATTGTATAGTTAAAGGGTAGTGATTTTGCCCTGTTTGGAAGATAACTATACAATCTATTGCCTTCCCTGTGGAGTGGACTTTTCCTGTGAAGTGTCATTTTTAAAAGGCTTTTCATGATCAATTTTCAGCCTTCTGGGTCTTAATATGAGCGGTGGAGTGTTGATCATAGACTGTATCTACAATGGACAACTTGGTTCTCAGGGTGGCTTCACCCAGCGAGGAGGCAGACTGTGTCCATTCTATATACAGTCTATGGTGTTGATGCACTTGTATATTTCTGCAGCATTACAGTGTTTTCTTGTCATTTACTTAATACTATAATGTTTTTAGTTGTTGAGCAATTTTGCTTTACTTTGATGAAAATATTCACTATATTCTGCGATGTTACAGTGAACCTCTTGTTGTATTTTAACTTGATGATTAAAAAAAGATAAAAAGTTTTGAAATGTAGATGGATATTTGGAGCTTGACATGCTCAAGTATTCAGATTCTTTTCTCCAGTAGATGACAGAATCTGTTCACACTCTGGGAATAGTGTAAATAAAAGTTGTTGAGCACTTGGTTGCTTATTTTAGTTGATAATTTGCTGTATTATCTCGATACACACACTAAAAAAGCTACAACAAAAAGAAAAAAAAAGAAATGATGCATGTCTCAGTGGTAGGATAGTTACATACGGTTTGTCTGCTGAGAAAAATATCTATTTTTAAACTGTTAAACTGAATAAATTCAACTGTTTTCTTGTATCTTCACTTGGATTCTCTTGGATGGCAGATCTTCATGTTGCAACTGCATTTTTTTAACTGCCAAGCTTCAAATTTCAGTGTGTTAACAGGGGAATGTTTGGTTATCTTTGGGCTTTTTATTCTTCTTACCCCTGCATTTTGGCGACCAGCCACTATCTGTTGAATTTCCCCTTGCGGATAAATAAAGTTCTTCTCATCTTCTTAAATGATTCTGTAAATTATTTGTACTATGCAGTAGGAGTTTATTGTGCACTACTGTAGAATCAGGGGGTGCAGGGGAGCAGTGGCTATAGAGAGCTCATTTAAAGGTAAAAACCCAAATCCTTTTGTATATTCTGGTGATTATAAACTCATTCAAACATATAAATATTCAATTCTGTTGAATCTACACACTGCACCTATAAAAGGTTGAACCATGACAATTATCTGATCAGACCGAATAGTGAATCAAATCAAATGCCTTATATCAGGAGGCTTTTGAGGAAGGGATGGACATCTGATATTAAATTGGTGGGTATATTCATGGTAGAGTTGTACTTTAGACCCTTACTCACTTTGTCATGGTGGATTGAAACGATTTAAAGTGTGTAAAGACCACTAAAATTACCCCCCAGGCCACAAACGAATGAAAAAATCTTAACTGGTCTCATGGTGCAGGAGTTCCCTATTGTGCCTGAAGAGGGAGCCATAATCCTTTTCCATCCTGTCGTCGACCGGATTCTTGAAAAAGCCTCGAAATTATTCAAATAAAGTCCCAACCCTGATGAAGAGTTTCTTCACTAAACATGTCAGTCAAAGATGGGTCATATTTACCAGGTAGATTAATTTCCCTCAAATACTCACTTTAATTCACTTTAGTTATTTTTTATTTTAGGGTTGTATCATCCTAAATTTGTCCTGAATGATTTTAAAAGCTTGAGCTGACATTGACCTGACAGCTTGCATTACTTTGTACCAAGAATACGGTTAAAAATTATAGCTTATATCGAGGATATATGCTTAAGTGAACTGGATGCAAATTGCAAATAAATAAGTTTCTTCTAGTCTCACAGAGTAAATCTGAATCGTTTAAAGTTTATTTTTACATAACCCTTTAATTTTTTCCTGAAGAAGATTTATCTCTTTCTTGATGCACTGTCATGATAAGAGTTTGTTTAGTTTTCATTATTTTTTTAACCCATTTAACCTAATGACATTTCAAGAGCAGTAACTTCTCATATTTAGACTGTGGTCAGAAGAAGAAGACAGAAAAAAAGCATTTCTAGTTGAATATGAGGACTTAAACATGCGGTAAGTTACAGCAGCCACACCCAAGTGAATTAATGACCCATCAGCATGCAGAGGTGGGGGCTCGACGACTCGACTCGAGGCTCGACTCGGACGAGTACTGTTTTTGACTTGCTCAATGAAATCAAGAAATGACTTGGACTCGCTTGGGACTTGATTGCTAAAGACTTGAGACTTGACTTGACTTGAGCCCAGTAACTTGAAAAGTCAAGTCAAGTCTTTTCAAGTCACTTAATACCTTACAGCAAACCCAAACCGTTTAAAAAGTGTCAACTAATAGTCAGGAATTACGGCCGTTGGTAACACCGTGTTGTGTTGCCAAGTCTGCTTATTTCCCGTAAAAAAAATCACTTGTTTTTGGCTTGTTTCTGGAGGCCTGTCTCGTTATTTCTCTCACAAAACTTGGCAACACTGTCTCAAACTCCAACCTCAAACTCATAACAACACTGGGAGGACTGAACAAAAATCGCTCGCTAGTATTGCCTGCCTGTTTCCACGTGTTGCCTTGTGTCTCTTTTGTTTTGTTTTGTAACAGGGAATTAAAGTATCAGTTTAATGTTTAATTTCAGTCTTCATTATTTTTGTGCACACTGTCTAAGTTTCCAATTATTGAAGTTTATCTGATTATTTTTTGTATGACATGTAAAATAGTTTGGTTAAAGCTGCACTATGTAACTTAACACAAACAAGAATCTTTGTTTAATAATAAATGCAAATAGTGAAAAATGCTCATGATTTATGTACATCTTTACATATAACAAATGGTTTATGGCTTTGATATGACTTGATTTTGTCTTGAAAGAAACGGTAAGGACTTGGTTCGGATTCGAAGCAAAATTCCTAGGACTTGGACTTGCCTCGGACTTGAGAGCAAAGACTTGAGACTCGACTTGGACTTGCAACATAGGGACTTTCCCTCACCTCTGTCAGCATGGCACTATGGTCAATAACGATGCAGTTAATTGAGCTCCAATTAGAGTGAGGCCCTGAAATGAGGTCTGATTGGTCCTCTAAACGACAGTGAATTTGTGGGAGGGGCTTCATTGCTGTAAAATGATGTCAAGCGATGACAGGTGGTTATCTGTCACACGGTCTCTCACAGTGAGCAGAGATGATCCAGGGTCCAGCGCAGTGCTCTCCGAGCCGCAGGCTGCAGCAGTGAGTGAGTGAGCATGTGTCAGACACAAGGACGGATGAGCTGAGAGCGTGTACCTGCAGGCTGAGAGTGTGTGTGTGTGTGTGAGAGAGAGAGAGAGAGAGAGAGAGAGAGAGAGAGAGGCAGATCCTCTACTCTGCAGAACACGCCCTGATAGAGAAAGGTAGACACACACACACACATAGACAGACTCTCTCACACACAAACACATTCAGCCTTGATCACTGAGGAGCCGAGCTGCCTACCTGAAAACAACAGCCCCAATGCTCCTGCACAGGCTCACTGCAGCGGACAGCTACCAAATGAAAAACCACGACCAGATAGTTTCGACAAACTTTGGTTTGGCTCGAGGAGGTTTATTCCCGCGCGCAGCCCGGAACACCTGGACAGCCCGCGGGACTCGGTAGGGGAAGAAGCGGGTTGTTGGTTCGGCAGAGCAGGGATCCACCGGCGGGGCTGAAGCACCATGAGCAGGAAGACACGGCGCTGGATTTTCCATTTCTTCCTCTGCCTGGGAATTGTATACTTGAAAATTGGGTGAGTTTTGGGCTTGAGTCCAAGTTGTTTCTGTAGGCCTGCTTTTAACAAGGTTTCTGAAAGTAAGGAAAAAATAAGGCCAACCTAAAGACAAATTCATCAGACATCACTGAGAGAAAAAAGTCATTTTACTAGCTGTGGTGGATTTTTTGTAATTGCATTTAAGATTTCATTATATGCATTTTAAATGAAGGGATGCACTTTGTTTCTTCGATTTAAGTGTTTGTATTAGGATTAAAACCCCATGCAATAGGAAAATGTCTCATTTTTAACATTTTCCCTCGGGCGCTGTCATTGACAGGGGTCTGTCATCGGTGGTCGCGCTGGGAGCGAGCATCATCTGTAATAAAATTCCCGGCTTGGCCCCCCGTCAGAGGACTATCTGTCAGAGTCGACCCGACGCGATCATAGTGATCGGAGAGGGGGTTCAGATGGGGATCAATGAGTGCCAGTTTCAGTTCAGATACGGACGCTGGAACTGCTCGGCCCTGGGTGAGAGGACCGTGTTTGGAAGAGAGCTCAGAGTGGGTATGTTGCATTTCATTTTCATGTCAGAACAAGATTATTTTTCTCACATTTTTCATCGCTTTGTTTACGGGTGGACTTATTTATTTACAGACATGTTGCTGTTAGAGTCCTTCAGTTTTTCATTGCATTTGAGTTTGACTGCAGGATTTTATTCTTCAAGCTCTCAAACCCTGTCAGGTTTTTACACCCAGAGCTCTGGTTCATCATTGAGTTTTCCTTCCATGGTGCTGTAAAAGACATTGTTGAGACATGTCAGCATGCCTTCATCTTCATAGTTACAGAGCTCACAAGATTGTTTTTCACTAATAAAATAGTTATTACTGAGAAATAATATGGTTCATATTTACATGCCTGCATAATAGTACACCAGTGGCTTGATAATTTTGCGTTGCTCGCACACAGATAATAAACCAAAGCCATACTTTTTGAGTATTGAGTTGTATGTTATTTTTGCTTTTATTAAAAAGTTTGGAAGAAGATATGAAAATGTTTTCAAAATGATCTGTACAGAAAAAGTATCAGCGGAGGAGGCCTCTGACACCGGTAAAACTCTGTCAATCTTCGTCTTAGACTCAAAGCATCTGCTCTCTGTGGGGAAAAAAAAAAAGACACAGATTTGATCTTGTGTTGTGGAATAAGTCTCGAGGCGATGCTTGCTTCAAAAACAAGACTGCGGAAACAAGTGAAGAATCCCATTTACCACACTACTTCTCCACTTTGTTGTCTTTTTCATTCACCCTGTCATCCCTCAGACAGACGCAGAGCTCGGATGTCATTTTTCTCCTCGAGTGTCATTAAGGATTATAGCTTACACCTTGGGCATCTTGAGCCTTTAATTTATGCCGATTGCTGCTCTGTACATGACAGATTTATATTATAGTATTTTGCCCTGGATGGTTGTAGTATTAGTTGCAACAAGCATGAGTAAAGTCTGAATGACCCAGCTTGTTTTACTGGTCTGATTAACAGGGATGCACACGGTAAAATGCTGCGGGATACGGAGTTTACTGGGTGAATGAGTGTGCCTGTCGAATCAGAAAAAAACCTTGCACGTTTTTTTTATGAGAATTCTTTAAATGGCCTCTGATGATAAAAATTAAAAATAATTAGTCAGGTTTTTTTTGTTAATTTTGTAGAGAATACGCATTGTAGCTGCGTACACGTTGCCTTTCCATCCAGACAAGCTCCCCCACCTCCATGTATGTTCATAAAATACTTTTCTCCCAAAAGTTTCAAGTTCAGACAAGTTCTTTCTTCTAGGTTTACTAATATACCTCCAGGTTCTGCAGATTTGGCAGGGCACGTTTTATGTAGAATGATTTTACCACCGCTCCAGGACAGAGCTCGACTTTTTTAAGTAAAGCCTCAGATTAAAACAGAGCTCATTTCACCGTTGCACAACTCCGAATTTAGCCAAGTGTAGACAAGAATCAGGCCGAGCTCCAGGAGACAGCAGGTCAGCTCGAGCGCTGTTTAGGTCCAGCTGCAGAGTCTGTCTGAATCCATTGTCCTGTTCCAGCAGACTGGAACACTGATAACTGTCAGAATACATAAATCCTGGATTCTTGTTGGCTGAATTGCAGAGATGTACAGTATTTTGGCAAAAGGATCACGTATCCTCCCTACCTAGCAAGCTGGTTAAAATAAGTTGGCTGTAAAGGCAGATCGGAGATTTGGTCTGACATCCATGGTTAACTAAATCTTCTGCTTTTGGATGTGTCTTATATGGTGTTCCATCTACTTTGCACTTCTTCAGAGACCTAGACTGGACAGCAAGTGTGTCTTAAGGATTCACGTTCACTTGTTGCAGCAGAATGGAGCAGCTGCTAATAAAGGTCTAAGTTTGAAGGAGGACTATGAGCTGTGAGAAAAAGTTTGCATTGTGATTAAATTATTAAAGCTGATGATTTTATTTGGGCATGTATTATGAACATTTTTGGATGGTTTTACATGTGCTCAGATGAGTATTTGCGCCGTTTTAATTAAAAAACACTGTTGACCTGAAGCTCTCAGATTTATGGGGCAGGAATCCATCTACGTAGGGAGGCTCTGCATGCCTCTCAGAATCACCTCCACAGGGTGGATCCCAGATTGACAGTCGCTGGGACAACGGCCAGAAATGATGCTAAAACATTTAACTTTCCCTCTCTGAATGGTCAGAAATCATCTTTGCCACTCAAATCTAAACAATAAATTGACTGTTAAACTGTAATTTTGTTAGTTACACATGTCCTAATCCTTTAGATTCTTTAATCATCATTTATCACAGGGACAATAAAACTGTCTTGCTTCTCAAAAGACCGCCTCCCTTAGGAGGCCTTTGCCCCTCTCCTATTCAAAGTGCTCCATTATATAAAATTCAGATTACCCTGAAGTTTATCTGTTTTGAAAGAGCTTGATGAATGAATTGGACTTGGCTTAGCTCATCCATTTCATGATTTGGTTTGAGGCAGATATGCCAGGTATGCAAGGAGGCTTGACAGTGCCTGAAAAACTAATCTTGAAGTTTGTGATTGTGATTAAAGCTGTCTTTTCTCTTTATCCTAGGCAGTAAAGAGGCTGCCTTCACCTACGCTATCATCGCTGCCGGGGTTGCCCATGCAGTAACTGCAGCGTGCACACAGGGGAGCCTCAGCGGCTGTGGGTGTGACAAGGAGAAGCAGGGTTTCTACAACAAGGAGGAAGGCTGGAAGTGGGGCGGCTGCTCTGCAGATGTTCACTATGGCCTGGGTTTTTCTAAGGTGTTTGTGGACGCACGGGAGATCAAGCAGAATGCCAGGACTCTAATGAATTTACACAACAATGAAGTGGGACGTAAGGTAAGTTTGTGATGGAAATACTTCTTTCCTTTTATACAGACAGTCTGTTATTGCAAATTAAATCATAAAGATGCAGAAATAAGACATTTATGCAGTATGCTCTATCTTTGCACAACTGTAAGCAGTGTCTAATTCAAACAGCACCGTGCACTTATGAAGTTTCAAGCCAAAAAGACCATGACTCTGGCATGAGTGCTGTCATAGACTGATCACAAGCATGCAAACTGGGTATAATTATCGGAAAAAGTGTTTTGGTTTTGAATACGTGAGTGAATGTGTAATGGTGACTTTGTTTTACTCTCTGTTTAGTAGGGGTGGGCAATATAGGCTTAAAAAAATCATCACAATAAGTTTTGCCATTTGGGCGATAACAATAAAAGTCCCGATAAAAAATATAATTCCAATCTATGTTTTTGACTCATTTTGTCTTGAGGACACCAGTTGGCATAGTCAAATAAGATACTTAACCACAAGTTTGAGTGGTAGGTTACGGAGAAAACTAGTAAAATGTGAAAGCACTTTCACCTGATTGCGCCCATCTAAACCCCAATCTTGAAGGAAATCATGTGGAGCCTCGTTCAGCAACGAGCTGCTCAGAAACATCTTCTTCATTATCTTCGGCCATGTTTGTTTGTTATTCTGATCTGTGTGGGCTATGGCTGCGAATCCGTCGCTTGGGTTTATTGTGAGATGGCAAATATTTATTGTGGAGGAATTGTCTGACGATAAATCATAAACAATAATTTATCGCCCACCCCTACTATTTAGCAATATAAAAAGTCTGCAAAGTCACAAAATCTGCACCTGGGAAGACTTTTCTTTTCATCACTGTACCAGTTTATAGTCTTCATACTGTGGCAATGCAATGAGACTCGATCACTCACATATAGTAGAAGATGGTCACAAAGGCACCCTAGACCATAAACTATATCAGTGCAATGCCATGCAAGGGAATTGGGAAAAAGGGGGGATGATGGTCAGGTCAAGGTGGGAGATGTGATCTAAGGGCAGGTCATCATAGTTTTAAAAAACACAACAAAATAAGGGAAGACATTTCACTGAAGAGACTTTTTTAAACAGAGATGGTGTGGTTGACTGAGGTTTGGCTATGTTATGTCTGCAGACTGTGCTCAGCATCTTCATTCTTGTGAGACTTGGACATTGACCTTTTTACCTTGAACAAGAGCAACGTTAGCTTAGGTGGCTGGTTCGGTCCCATGGCTCACAAAAGACAACATTTGAAATCAGCAAAGTGATTTATGGCTGTTTTCTCAGGAGTCAAGCCAGTGATCGCGAAATTCACAAGAGTCTGTCCATCTGTACCTTTAGTAGAAAAGAAACCATGTACTTCGGCTGCGGAGTTCAGCACTAATCAATCCCTCCCAGATATTTAAGCTATCAATGCCATGGTCAATTCTGCATCCTCATACCACCAGAAACAAGGGCTTTTCACAAGATCTCTCTTGTCTTAAAAGCAGAGGATACAGTCTCATTTGTGGCTGCAGTGACAGACTGTGTTCACTCACAATGGTTTTTGGAAATGATGTTGAGCCATCGCAATGATTTCTTCTTCAAAGTCGTGTCTGTTTTTCAGAGGGCCTGAAGATCAAGGGCAGCCATCATTATTTATCTCATTTTGCCTTGTTACTTTTGGGATTTGTGTACTATTGAGATTTCTCTGAATCTTTAAGTATATTATAGATGATAAAATCCCCAAACTCTCTGCTTCTGTACGCTGAGGAAGTCTGAAGTTGTTAAATTAGTTGGTCATGCTTTTTGTAACAGAGTAAGAGACTCCACCTCTCTTTAAGATCTGTTTATATCCAGACATGTCACGATCCTGTTGGAAATTAACCTCATTGGTTGGGTGATGATCTGCCAGCTGTATTTTATTAGCATTGCACAACTGTTTTGTCACCAGAACAATGATCTTTTTGGTTTCAATATTTGATGCATGGTTGCACTATTTTCCACTTATTACTTTGTTTAAATGATCTTCAAAACCTCCAAATCTGTTTCATGGTGACTTAGGTTGTATGTTTTAAGAGCTAGCAGGACTTTGCAAAGTCAGTGAAGGTTAATGAGCAGAAAAGCCAAGATTTCTATGGTGTTGTACCAAATCTTGGTATCTCTCCTGTTAGGGTGAGACTTCAGCGTGAGTGTGGGGTTAATGCTGCGTTCCAGTTACCTCGGAAATCGGGGATCTGGGAATGACGTTACACCCAAGTTGACAGCGTTTCACTAAACAAGTCGGAAAACCAAGAAGGACGCCTACAGTTAGCCATTGTTAGCTGTTGTTTACAATTGTCAGCTGTTGTTAGTTGTTGTTAGCTGTTGTTAGCTGTTGTTAGCTATACCACCTGTAAACAACGCATAACACAGTATTTTACTCTTACAAACACCACAGCACTGTGTTCACAGTTCGACGTTGGGCAGTACAACATATAACCACTTATTTAATTTCACAAAAACAAAACAAAAGTGCTAATAAATAATACATTACGAGAGCTTTCACTGTTACTGTTGACTAGTGATGCACTGCGCTGCCATCTTGGATTATGATATTGTCGTCAAGTCAGGGTTGGTGAAAATCGTCAGGAGCGCCGAAATCCCGACTTTCGAGTACAACTGGAACGCACCATAAGACTTACTTTTGTTTACAATTGTTTTGACTTTGAACAGTAGTGCTGGTCTTTTGTCTCCTAAATTAGTCTTGGCTTGAAGGGGTAGTATTATGTTTTCCCACAAACTAAGTGGATGCAAAGTTTCAAATCTTGAGGTAAATCTTAGAAAAAATAGATGTACATAATCTTAGAAAATAGACATAAACTACTTAAAATGGGAGCTTGTGCAAAGTTGCAAGACTCACTAAAATGCCAGCGTCTGTTGTAGTCTCTCCTTACTGCCTGTCTCCAGCTCTACTGATTGGCTACAATAGAAGGGGCGGGGCCAAAACATGTAGTCACCTAGACAGAGAGATACTCTTATGTTTTAAATTGTAAGTTACTTCAATTTAAAATGAAATATTCTGATATTCTTTGTTATGTACAGTCACATTTTTTTAGCTATAGGCCAGAATGATCTGATTAAAACAGAAAAAGTCTTGAAACATTTGCGTTAACATGGATCACATTTGGAATGTTAACTTTCCCTAAGTATTCTCATGTTTGAGCTGCACCTAAAACAGGAACAAAGAAAAACAGAGACAGAGAAGTTAAACACTTCAGCTCAACAATGTTGTTCAGAGGCGGAAAGACAAAGGAGGCCTAACAACAGATCAATAGTAACTACAGGACTCTCCACAAAGTGGTCCCACAAGAAAGTGATTTATTGAAAAAGCAACAGTGAGCACATTGAACGCTCAGTAAAATCTTGGCTCTGTCCTAATTGCTGCGCTGGCCCTCAATGACCCAAAGTAATCAAATAATGCAAAAGTTTCTGCAGTTAAATTGTCCCAAACTTGAGTTATACAGATACATTTATTCTATTCATGTAGATAAAAAGCCGACCCTACTTCAGAGGAAATGCTTACATGCAGTCCTGTCGAGATTTTTAAGAGGGGAAGTATGAAAACATCTCCTATATGGTCGGTAAATATCTGTTTGAAACAGCAGCTCTGTAGGGTCAAAACCATTGGGTAAAATCCAAACACTCTTTACTGTTTGCTAATGCTTTTATAAATAAATGGAAACTTGAGACAGTTCTCTTTAACTCTAGTCAAAGCCTGGTTTTGAGTTGTCTTGTATCCACTTAAAGACCACACTTAAAGGTTCGACACAAAAATCAGGATTCAAATTATTCGTGTGATCAGATAGGCTCTGGTAAAGTTGGGTGACCATATTCTGAATCCCCAAAAAGAGGAAACTACTACCTGGCGGATTTGCGGGCAAAATTTTGAGGGTTTTTTAGGTCGGGTTGAGTGTTTTTTACGTGCCTCTAACACGGTTAGTCCATGCTACACAAACTCAAAACTTCCATACAAAACCCCAGACATTTGAAGGATTTTTATAAACTCCCATGTCTGGGTAAAAGAGGACGTATGGTCACCCTAGGTAAAACATGGTGTCCTCACTGCATATTTATTGTCTGCAGTTTAATTGTTGAATAAATGGGACTTTCGAGGCAATGCTGGGGTCAGATGTAAAGTCTCATCTCATTCTATGTTTTTTCATGATGAGAGGAAGAGCCAGTGTTTCGAGTGATGTTATTGTTTTACAAGTAGCAGTGTTGGATAGTTCCTTATGAAGTGTGAAACTCTGTGAAGTGTGGAGGTGTTAACACATGAAAACGCTGAGAAGTGGGAAGGTCAAAGAGAGAGGGAGCATGTCATGGATCTAAAAAGCTAGTAGTGAGTGATCAAGCAGGAGAGGGAAGCATCCTGTGAAACAGAAGCAGGGCCTGTGTTGTCTGTGTGGTTGAGATGGAATTTTGTCTGGAAGATTTTAATTTGTGAATAAGGTTTGATGAGAAAAACCTCCAAGGTACAAACAGGTTTCATTAATCTTAAATATAGTCATAAATATATTCATAAATAAATACAGTCAGATATAGGCCTTTCTTAGGATGCAGTTCTACAACTCTAACTAAGCTGTGCTCCACCTTTGTGCCACCAAAACGAGAGGAAAAAAAAGTGTGATTGTCTTACTCTCTGGGTTAGAATGTAAATATGAAATACAACAGGCATTGTCACATACCTGTAGAGGGAGTGGACCCCTCAAGACTGAAGCCAGTTGGGACTCACTGCTGCAATCAGGGGGGATGGAGATACACATACACAGTGAGCAAAGCTGCAAAAAAAAGACAAGTGAATCAACAGCTGTGACAGATGATGACTTTAGATGATTTTTAGATTTTTTAGAGAAATTCCAGCAGCATTATATTTACAGAAAAGAAAAAAGTATTATCTATCTGTCTGTCTGATAAAAGTAGGATTAAAAGCCATCAACATTTGTACATTTATTGATGACATTTACTGCTGGAGGAGAGTGGGTGACTTGTGTTTAGTCTCTTTGCTAAAGAAATCAGGCAAAGTTAAAAAGATGTTTGATGGCTAGTACTATGGCTGGGACCCTATATGTACTGTTGATGAAGTTAGGTGCTGTTCTGAGCATTATTTGTGGCTATAGAGTGGCGTTTTGGTTGAGGTTTGCAAGTGGAGGTGTAGACTGCGGTGTATTGCTATCTGCGGTCGTTGCTGAAGTTGGTACAACTAGAGAAGCAAGCAGTCGGCAACATTCATCTCTCGAGGGGGTGTCCAACTCGGTGTTGCGAATATAAATTTGCGGCAGAATATCCCTCTAAGTATATTAAACTGGGGTCAAATGAAAAAGGAAAAAGAATTCCATGAGAAGGTTTTTTTTATGTATGTAATAAAAATTCAAGGCCTCAGCACGGTGCCTTGTGGAACTCCCATTTACCAGCCTGGGGTTGGGGTTTATTACATGACAGATTTTTCCTCTGGGAGTTTTGGAGAGTGGGCAAAATACGACAGTTCACTGTACTGAAGGGTTCAACTGACACATACTCTCATGATTGGAAAAAGATTTGTTCAGTAACGGTTGATAAAGCACCAATGATGAACCGTGAATAATACTCCAAGTCAGTGAAGAGACAATTTCTTTGAAAATGGTTGTTGAATTAGTCACAGAGATTAATTTCATGAATCATATTAGTACTCAGTGTTGAATATGTTCTCCATGGATACATCATGGATAAGTGAATTAAAGGGTGACAAACCTTTAATCCACACCACACATAGTCAGAGCAGGGATTTGTTATTCCAAGGTGATTTTCTTCTCTCATAGTTGTACTATATCCAGATGGCTCTTCAGCTCACTCGTAGCGAACAAACTTTATCACTTTAGCTTTCAACAATTGAAAGTTGTACTTTGTTCCAGATAAATATTCCCTCGCCAAATTAATTTGTCGGCCAATTTACGGCTACTGATAAGAAGTATTATAAACTTTTGACACTGGCAGAACTCTGCTCCAGCATTTATCCAGTCGGCCTCATGGGCAGATAGATTAAAAACTCAAGATCGTATCCCTGTGTACTGGACATCGTTTGAACTGTAAAATTCAGAATACTTTCGACGGGGTACTAAAGGTAATTACTTCTCCACTCCATTATTAAAACATGTAAAGACCCACTTTGACGAGTATCATGTTTTTCTCGTTTTTTTTACATGTTCATATGGCATTTTTCTGGTGAGGAAAAATAAGTGCCAAATTGCATTTCTGAGTATTTCTGCATTCAAATTGCTGTGTATCTCTGGCAGACCCAAACGGCACGTTTAGATACAGTGAGATTTCCTATGTAGCAAATCTAAGCTCCGCCCCCAGAGCCCCGCTACGCAGGCCAGACTCGGAAAAATAGAGAGGATGATCGTGGAACAAGCGTGTGTGTTTGCGTATTGTAAAGCTCGTAAAAAAGCTAATTATGAAATTAACTTTCATCGTGTCCCCGAAGACATTAGTGTCCGAGAGCTGAATATCTCCTATGTGTGCAGAGCAGCGCTGTCTCTGCCCACGACTCAGAGGCAAATTGCTCTTGAGCTACTGGAGCTCTGCAGAAGACAAGCCCTTAAAAATGACAGATAATGTGATTTTGGCTAAAAACTTCATAATTACAATTGAAAGACCACTAATAACTTTTGAAGTAGTTAAAAAAAAAAAAAAATAACAATTGTAGTGGGACTTGAATTTAGTCCATTGGCACCAGCTGAAGATAAAAAAAGAGCCTAGAAACATTGTGCTGTAAAAACAGCACTGTCAGTACCTGTCCTGGTGACCGTAGAGCGAGAAAAACTCCTCTTTGTGGGAATCCCTGAAAGCACTTCTTTCTATCAGCGGAATGAAGATGAAAGTGTGTACTTAGAGATACTCCCATCCTCTTGCGTGCAGCTTTCAGGGTTAGAGTTTCATAATTGAGGTCTGGCATCAGTCAGAAAGTGATACAGTTTCTGAATCTTTTAATATACCCTTACTAAACTGATACCTCTGTAATTATTGTGGTAAAGCTTTCATGTTAAATCGGAGATGATGTCAGTGTGTGTTTTGAGGGCCAACCTTTGGATTTCTTGAGAAGAATAAACAATAGTGTAAAAGGTGCCACAGGAGGCTTACAGGGGTTCTGTTAGACAAACAATAGCAGCTTGGTTGGCATTTCACTTCACTGAGCTCCATGAATTAAATGTTTGTCAGGTCTCGGGGGCATGACCACACTAAGCTGGATGCATCCAAGGCTTTTGACAATTACCCCACGAGACTCCAGAAAGTCTGAGGCCACATCAGAGTGGAATAATTAAAAAGCAGGGTGAGGCTTCTGTAATGCCAGCGAGGGTTCCCACTCAGTGAGGAGGAAGGAGGTTAAGCTGATGTCATTCAGCCGGAGGCACACAGAGAATACCCCGGCTGCTTTGCCAAACTCATCGAAAGGTTCCACTCGAACCCTGAAAAGGGCTTTTCACCGCTGCCAGTCTGCTCGCTGCAAACGCCTTAATGTGGTGACAACCCCAAACTGTCTCCTCACTTACAAGAGCTTGTAAATTAACCCAGCTTGTCTGAATAGATTAGGTTAAACAGTTTTTTCAATCACACAGGCATCAACTTTTAAAGTGCTCGATCTGATAGTTTCTTTTTTTCCGTTAATCTCTAAAGCAGATGTGAAGATTCATGACACAAATCCAGAATCCTATGTTTGCAGACTTGATTGATTTTCAGTGCTCCAAAATCCTCTAAAATTTCTACATTTGCCTTCACATGTGACACAAAATGCATATATTTGTAAAGCCTGGGTACTTTTTTTTTTAATTCGAAATGGCATCACAAAACTTTGGCGTCATAGTTTAATCAAGTTTGCTTATCATTTAAACGGCTTACTCATGGGACATCCATGATATTGCACAACTTCCAGGATGTATGAATATGCTTTTTCAATGAGTGGGTGTCCTGTAAAGAACGGCACATGCATACTTAGCTAGTAGCAATACAGTGACGTACTGCAGCAGCGCTGAGATCTCTGGAATGCTTACATTCATTTGGAATGCTTGAAAACGTTTGTCTCAACCTGTTGAACTATTCATGCAATATGTTAGTATTTCTGTGAACTCGTGTTTCCTACCTGCTCATTATGGAAAGACAGGATCAAACAAATTACCAGGAGTGGTGTGTGGTGTTGCAAGCCCTTAAACAGTCTCTTTTTTTTAAATAGAAAAATCTCAGCGCCGCACAAATGAACATACTGACTGTGATGAAAGGTGTGTCAGGAAGTTCTGAAAGTAAAAAATGCAAAAAGAAAAACAATGAAAGCATTTCAGAGGATGCATCTAACTCCATAAACTTTGCTTCATCTGAGCTTTTCTTCTGTGTTTTAGGTTCTGGAGAAGGGTATGCGTCTGGAGTGTAAGTGTCATGGTGTTTCAGGATCCTGCACTACCAAGACATGCTGGACTACACTACCCAAGTTCCGTCAGCTGGGCTACATGCTCAAGGACAAGTACAACCAGGCCGTGCATGTGGAGCCTGTACGAGCTCGCCGTAACAACCGCCCCACCTTTCTGAAAATCAAAAAACCTCATTCCTATCGCAAGCCCATGGACACAGAGCTGGTCTACATCGAGAGGTCGCCCAATTACTGTGAGGCGGACCCTCTGACCGGCAGCATGGGAACACAGGGCCGTCTGTGCAACAAAACAGCTCTGCAGCCCAACAGCTGTGACCTGATGTGCTGTGGTCGAGGATATAACACACATCAGTACTCCCGCGTTTGGCAGTGCAACTGCAAGTTCCTGTGGTGCTGCTATGTCAAATGCAACACCTGCAGCGAGAGGACAGAGGTGTACACCTGTAAATAGAACTATTTATTGGACATGTTGTAGACACACTTCCAGTCTGGGCTGCATGTCTTGTTTATGAACTCTAGGAAAAAGGGTTTGCTTTGGTTGACACACACATTGTGGAGTGATTGCCTCACTATTTTGGCAGACAAAGAACTGGATCAACCAGCGTCTCCGACATGTGTGAATTAAAGTGATGCCAATGGACATCTGCCATGACACTGGATTTAACCCGAGGGCTCTCACCTTTTGTTTAATCAAATACCATTTCATGCCCCAGGCTTGACTTCTCTGCAGGCCTGCTGCTCCGCTGGCATGACTCACCTCATGCTGCAGTGACTTTGTTTTTTTTCTTTGACTAATAATTTATTCACCGGGAAAACTACTGATGATTTTAAAAGTTCACTGATAAGTCTATCTGGTGAAGTTTTAAAGTTGGTTTAGATGCATTTAGTGTAAAATATTGTATGCGCACTTATGAGATAAATGAATTGTTTCTCACACACTGGAGCTGAAAACTGAAATGGTCCTAAATGACACAACCAAATGACACTGCAGCTTATTTGAATTACCATATTGGCACGAGTAGGGCTGGGCGATAAACCGAAGATTTATCTATACCGAAATTTATGGCGATAACTGATGTCATTTTGCCCATGTCAATTTATTCAGTGTCAAAAAAACGTATAAATAAAATTTGGTTTTGGATGTGTGTAGGTAGGCTCATGTCCCTTTAAGACGCTGTCCTACGTCGGAGACATGACTCCACCCCATCCAGTCTGTAAAGAGGGAAAGACAAGTGAGGAGATGGAGGACGGTTCAAGAGTTGGAGCGGCTGGAGTAGACGAAGTTAATATGGGAGAGGGTGAGCAGCGTGTGGAGTAGTTATCGTCCATTCATCATAATCGAGGTGAACTGCTCAATATGTCGTGATAGTGATTCGAGGCCATATCGCCCAGCCCTACACATGAGCATGAGGTTGATAAGGCTAATGGTTAGGAGGAGACTTAAAAAAAAAAAATCTCATTTTTTAAAGTAAAGCAATCTGAACTGAAAATAATTAAATGGACACATTTTTGATCATTTGTTAAATAAATGTTTTCACTATTTAAAAACAGGCTTATCTTTAGGACCTGTGTGCTGTAAACAGGCTGTGATAGTCCTGGATCTTTACAGTTTAGCAAATCGCAGATACAGCTTCTGATTGGCTGTCAGACTGAAACAAAGATAGTCGCCTTAGTTTTGCATAGTCAGTTAAAAACAGAAATAACATTATAAACTACACTATTTGATTAGTGTATAGATGCTCACAGATGGCCTTCTTTTTAAGGATTGGCTCTAGACAGTCTGAAAATACATCGATCATCTCTGTGGGATAGAAAAGCCCCTGGATGTTGCAGAAAGACTAAAGTGTGTCCTCTAAAGCTGCTGCTGCTCTCACAAAATAAGTGGACTTTATCGTAAGTCACTATATTGTACAGTTCTATTTTCAGAGCTGATATTGTAAACACAACTTTAATATGTTGTGTATGACAGCATCAGCTCCTGGCAGGTTAATCTCTAAAACCCTAAATGTAAGAAGACTCCACTTTGACTGTAGTCTTTTATTCGGGTCAATACGGTAAGCTTAGCAAACAAACTTTGAACTACTGATTCTTGGCTATTTCATTATGATAGTATTGTTTCTCATGTGTTTCTACCCCCTTCCCCCGGCCGGTTTGCTGCTAGTGTTTTGGAAAGTGATGGAGTTTGTCATTGAGCAGCCATCTTGACTCAGTAAGCTAAGTGTAAGCCACCAGGAGCAACAGGAGCTTCCAGACATATTGCCTGTGATTTTGGTTGATAGAATATATTTTGTAAAAGATTATTTTTATATAATATTTTTTATTTATTTTCTATCTGTAAGAAAGATATTTCCCCTTATCATTTCTGAGTGTACAGTTACTGAGTTTTCCCACAGGAAATGCCCCACTGAAACACTGTTTGAAGATGTGCCTTGTTGTTGTTGTTCAGCTGCAGAAAACTCAAATGTTACACTGAAATAATGTGCAGTATTGTGACTTTTAAACCCGTTCAGTAACTTTTATCCCAATGCCTGAAGTCATTTCTACGCTCACAGCTGTCTCATGAATGTTAGCCTGATTGACCCGCTGCCATCCAGGGTTGTATTCCTCTGTCTTTTACAAGGTTTCAATTTCTTCATGTGCCTAAAAGCCTAAAATAAACAACAACCTACTACAGCAGTTGTCTGTAAAATTTGTATAACAGCTTGTTTGAGAAAAGTTCAATTGTGATGTAGTTATTAGCAAACAGACGCTATTGCTTCTGTTCATTTTAACAGTGCAAAACAAGAGTTAATTTTTTCATATTTTTGACATCAGACCGTCATCTTTCTAAGATTTCTGCTGACTGACAGGAACCAACATCAGCGACTCATTGACTAAAGAATAAGTTTGGACATCGATCATAATCTCATCAAAAACAAACTAAGAATTTGACTCAAAATTTAACCCCAACTTTTCATACTCGACAGTTTAAATGTTTAACATGTAACATGCATATTTCTCTTGTTAGCTGCTCTATATCTAAAAAGTTAAATGTACCTTAACAGGACCATTCATCTCTGCTTGTACCACGGCAGACTGGTTTTATGTAGCTTGCTAACATGTCTCCACTATGTTAAACTCCTATATAAAGTTTCCATTTTAGTGCCTAAAGTGATGATAATAAGTCACCAAACTGCTGCAGCGCTCTTACATCAGAGGTTAATGTTGACCAATTTTATGTAAAACCAACCTTCAGTTAATAAATACTGCCACGTAATTACCAGAGGGGAGCTTTTATTTAATGCACATTTTTTGAGTCTCATCTCAAGGGTAGACGTTGGTGAGGAAGGGTTGACTGAGGCTTGTGCTGAGGGTGTCCCTGTGAGGCACACAGTGAGCTGTGGGAGTGTGGAGCTGCCGGCTGATGGATTACTCTGACATCTGCTTCATTCACTCCTCAACAACGTTGCTACAACAACCACACTGTGCCCCCCAAAAATGCTCCTCGTCCCATGGAGAGGCCAGACTGCCCATTAACAAAATGGTAACCATGCAAAACCCAGATAAAATTTGGATGCTATTTATTTTGTGGAAATGGCAAATGGGACCAAAGCGGTGTGGGGGCTTTACAATTGCAAGGGGATGATGTCAAGAAGGATTTCAATCTGACCAATTGAAAAGGTCTTAACTCCCAGAATAATTGGAACAAAACATTCCTCGGCTAAACTTTGGCTCAATAGAGTGACGCTCTCAAAAGGCAGCTGGCCAAACAGCCTCAGTTAGAGTAACACCAACGCTCTGTCACTGAGAGCTCAACAACATCATCTGAGTGTCTCTCCGAGTCCTGGATTGGTTCATGCTTCCCTTTTCTCTTCACAACTCGAAAGCTAAGGCCTCCGCTAACTCTGTAAACATGAAAACATTCACAGATGAAAAACAGGCATATTATTTCATATACTGGCTGTCTTCAACTGAGGAATATCAAAAAACTACCTCAGTTTGTAACAGTATAGCCGTTTTATAATACTGCAGCATCTTTATTTTTGATAAATATCAGACTTATTCAGCCTGAAGTTTAACCTTATTTTATAACATGCTATGCTGTTGCATGTTGGTATCTAGTTGATCCTGAATACCATGATAAACTTTTCATGTCAACTTCCAACAGCAACATCAACAACACATTCCCAGCCTCACAGTCAAAGTGAATCAGTAACTCCACCACGGCAAATAGTTTTGGTGAAGTACTGATGAGCCAAACCAGTATTTATGTTACCATTTATGGTTGCTTCTTGATTATATAAAGTGAACAAGCTTAAGTTATGTTTTGTAGCAGTTTCATGACTACCCTTTTCACTGGTTGCCGAGTTTTTCCAAATAGTTGTGCGCTAGTAGATAATTAAAGCTATAGTGCGTAACTTCTGTTGCCCCCCGAGAGGATTTCTGTGTTATGACAACGAAACGGCTGGCACCTCAATATGATGTATGTACGTCACACACAGAAACACTCAACAAGACACAACATACTGTTCGTCACGGCGCATGTAAGAAACACTGGTGACACACTACATGCTGCTGGTCATGGACCACAGTACAGGGACTGTAACTATCTACACAACGTGCAAGTTACTTAAGTTACTCGTCACAGCACACAGACTCCCCACAGTAAGTTGCACATAACAACACAGGCTACACACCTTCTAAGTTACTACTCGTTAGGCTAACGTCATACAGTGTGGCGAACACCAGGCTGCTAACAATACATAACATTCATAGCACCATTTCCAAGAAAATAATAAAGCACTCGGTCCAGTACATGTAACAGCAACACATCCTGCTCGTAATGAACAGAGTCGCTTACTTATCCAGCAGTATCAAGGCAACATCGGTGTCGGACCTCAGTCCAATCTCCTCCTTCAGGGCTCGCCATCGAGGACAAGTGACACTGATGTCACTGTAGGATCCACTTCTGAACCTCTTAGTCACTTCTTTGAGTTCTCCGCCATGTTGCTTCTAGCAGCGCTCTCCTCCCTCATCTCTTCTCGTTGTCACGTAAAACCGAGTAGAACGCGTCATTTCCTGTGCACAAGCGCAGGAATATTTCCCCCCTGACACCAAATACAAAAAGGACAAATACTGAAAAACACTGCGAGTTGTTAGACGAGCGTCAGCGTTGTATTATCTACTCTTGTCATGGTTTGGGTGAAACGGATATTTACAGACACATAGATCTTACGCACTGTAGTTTTAAATTGTAAAATACAGTTGAGGCCAAAATTATTACCCCCCCTACGAAATTGTAACTTTTTTTCCAAAATTTCCCAAGTGCTGTTAAACAGATAAATGATTTTTTTGCACAGCTTTTCCAAACATCCTAGTTTTATTATGAATCCTGAAAATTTTTTTACTTTGCACACAGAAACAAAATTATTTCACAAAAAACAAAAATGGCTCAATAAAAACATCAATTCT